GGGCCAATCGCGGTCATCCGTGCTTTTATAAGAACGAAATGGCGCTTTTAGTGACATTTTGCATACAGTACAAATCCCCATCTAGTAGGGCGCAGTCACCCAGTTTCGGTGGAAGTGCGCGAGTTCGATTGGGATTCAAGTAGGAAGGGAGCGTCTCAGCTTCCTCGGACCAAGACCATTCGACTCAGCACCCCGAAGACTACAACTGGTGAAAATTTGATTTTAGGGTATACTTCCCTTAATGTACATGTACGTCGTTCTGTGAACTGTCATGTTGTTATCGCAGAGAATGTCCGCTGGTCCGGATCCCCACCACCACCACCACCACCGGCGGGGGTGATGAGGTCTGGAGAACTTCGCCGAGTCGCGACCCAGGGCTTCGGCTTCATACTAATCATAGCCAATCTTTTCCTCTCTTGAGTCTCGGGCTACTTGAACATTCTAGTATTAATGCAGCGCATGCGCAGATTGCGAATAGCAACTACATATGTATAAGTAGTTTTCATTCCTCTAGCTCTTTGTACTCCGATCCGGCCTCCGGGTAAGCATTTTTGTTTTCGTTTTTTTGGCCAGTCCGAGTCGGCTACTATCAAAATGGTCTGGACTCTTGGGGGTTAGACAAGGGGAAGTAGCCATGTAGGGGCGTGAGCACGCCTTTCGGCACCGGGAGTTGCAGCTCGCTCGACTTGGCTCTACATGTATAATTATTACTACTGAGTGAAGAGAACCCACACCTTGATCTGATGAGCATTCGTTTGGTCAGCTCAAGCAGCTACAGTTCTTGTATGCTCAAGCTGCCATGGCCATGCCAGGGAGAACGACGTTACGTGGTCAACTCATACACGTACATGTACCGCTGTTACAACGGAGCAAAAGTGTCCACTACAAAAAATGTGTACGGTATAACCGGTACCGCGGTAGGGGCTGTGAAGGGAGAATCTGGCAGTCGATCGAAGGGACCATGTACCATCGGCATCGACCATGATTCAGTCACTGCTACTGACAACAGACTCTGGATCACACGGGTGCTTCACGCGAACACTGTCAGTGATGTCTGTACTAACAATAACATGTCGACTGTTGTGGTGATCTACTCACTGCTAGTAGTAGTTGTACAAAGCGTATCACCATTTTCACGCTTCATATCCCTGCTAGCCCTGGCGTAAGTCTTCACCACGATTTTGTCGAACTACGCAGCTAGCTTGAGTATTAGCTAACCCCGCAGTACCCTGGTCTTCGTAAGTGCAGTGTGATACTTTGGTTCACACATGGCATGGCGATACTGAGACCTATTGGTCAGTGGAGTGCCTGTAGCCTCACCAGCACTGCTTATTATAATAATAATTACTCAGTATTACTTGGCCTAAGGCTGAAGTCAAGCAAGCAGGTCAGCAGGAACCTCGAAAAAACATCACAGCAGACTACACTGTACAGTACATGTACATGTACAAGTCATAGTCATTACGATTCTGTCATTTCACCGACTGATTCTGTCATTTCTAATGGTTGGTAACACCCACATCTCCCGTAGAAAAGCACATAACCACCAGGAAAGCTGACAAAGAAAAAAGAGTAAGACAGGACAGATAAAAAGAGAGATGAGAGAGAGAGAGTTGGGGTACGGTTTGAGGAGAACGAGACATTGAATGGTGGTCGCCACAGTCACAGAATAAATAGGGCGGCGCTATAGTGGACGATGGAACCCTCCGCGCGCCGCTCGAACCCTCCTTGTCCGCTAGTGGACGATGGAACCCTCCGCGCGCCGCTCGAATCCTCCTTGTCCGCTAGTGGACGATGGAACCCTCCGGGCGCCGCTCGAACCCTCCTTGTCCGTACCACACTCCACAGACGACTAATATGCGTTGCGTCCTAAGCCAGGGCTTGAAGTACAGTCATGATGTAAGTAGGCCTACATTGCACGTACACTGTATCTGGCAACCGGTTTGGTTCCAGGACGTCCCGACCTTCGGAAGACAGGATCTAGGAGGTCAGTGAGACACGTCCCCATCGACAGACATCCGATCGGCGTGGAAGAAAGCTGTTTGAACTGACTGTGAGTGTGATGGTTTATGACTGATACATGGTAGACTACAGTCCGTATCGCCTATAACTATATAAGTATAAGGTTGGCGGCTATAGTAATATACCGGATATAGTGATCAATTCCTCAAATTCATTTTCATTCGCCATAACTAAGTATACACAGTTATCGCGTATAGTAATAATCGTCTATAGTAATATATCGCCTATAGTGATCAAATTCATATTTCAAAAGACGTTTATTACACTATTTTTGCATCGGTTATAGTGATTGATGTAAAATCAAGCGATGTCAGAGGAGAACAGGGTGTTACTTCTTCGTGAAGAACTTGTCCAGTGAGTGTTGTTTGGTGAGTTTTGCTTGTACAAGTTGCCAAAATATGCCTCCATCATGAGGAAATCATGATTTTTTGTGTCAGGCGCTACAGCCAGCTACATGACATTGTACATGTATGTAGTGCGTGTGTGCACGGTGCGCTGAGTCGTTTGACACCCCACTCGCATACATTGCATGCAGTATCGGTCATAGTAATATATCGCTTACATTAACTTATAGTGATAAAATGCTCAAAATCAAACACCAACGCTATAGGCGATACCAAGAGTAGATAAACAAGAGTGTGCAACTCCGGATGGATTGGCCCACGGCGGAATTTTTTGTTGACGTAATCTTTTCGACGACGCACGCGCTGCGAGCCTTTTGGAGAGTTTTCCCTCGTGCACTTGGCTGGGCTTTACACTACAAGGTCGGTGCCCAGCACGTGCTCTCACACTGCTCTGCGGCAAAGCCGCGTTTCTCTGAAAAAAGGTGACGTAAACAAAAAATTCCGCCGTGGGCGCGGGGTATCTGCAGATTGTGCAGGAGAGATCCGGAGTTGCACACTCTTGTTTATCTACTCTTGGCGATACTGACTGTACATCCGATATCCTGCCTGGAGCAGCCGCGTGCGCGCTTGCGACGGCTCGAGGTCCGTTCTTGCCACGCGACTGCACATGTGTGAGTGTGTCGATCGTAAATAATGATGCCATTCATAATCATACCAATCATGTGTATGTGTACACGTAGTCTACATGATTGTATACTACGTGTACACTGTAGATCTACCGTCATTCATCAAGAATAGTAGTCATGTACATGTACATGCATACGCTCCCACTGTCCCAGGAGCTTTTTTACTCTTGCAGTCTTGGTAGATCTCCCATGCTGTACGCTTGCATGGCATGTTGTTGTTGTTGTTGTTGTTGTTGTTGTTGTTGTTGTTGTTGTTGTTGTTGTTGTTGTTGTTGTTGTTGTTGTCGTGTTGATATTACTTCCGGACCCAACCTATTAGCAGTCTTACATGCGATGCATGCCGTGCGTGACACGCGTATGTTTCGCATGACTACTTAGTACTTGTATCGCGCCAACTACATAATTATACAGTAAAACCTGTCACGCGACCACACGGAAAAGGCGACCACCTGTCCTATAAGACCACTGAAACCAAGACCAAAGGATGCTATTTCCAGCCAAATGACCCTGGCCTGGATAAGGAGACCACCTGGTAACAGATACCGGTACCACATTTTGAAGGTCCCTTGAGTGGTCGTCTTGACAGGTTTCACTGATTTACTTGTCATGTGTGCACGCTACATAAAGCTGCATGATCTGACCGACCGTAGGTCTACGTACATGTCATCAATGATCATCACTATTAGTATTACCATGATTACTATTCGTACTAATACTCGCGAGATTAGAGGTGTAAGACTACTATTACTCAGTATTGTAGTAGTAATAGTCTTACACATCTACAGACTACAATCTAGCGAATCGCGAAAAGCCCAAATCAAGGTCAAGGCGCTAGCGTCTGCAACATAGTCCACAAGTCTGTATTACATACAGCACAAAGCACTGAGTCTTGCAGTACTGTTGCACTTGTACCGAAGCTTGCTAACAAGCGTGGTATGGACTGGCCCATATGGGGCTCCAGCCTCCATTACCACATACGTGACACAGTACATGCGCCTAAGCTACATGACCGTACTTACTTCATGGGTACTCAGTATTGTCCACATCACTGTCATCAGTCAAATGAGTCATGTAGAGGAGACGGCTCGATACCGGAACGTTTTGACAGCCAAATTTGTATAGACCCAAAACGATCATCAACGTTGATTTTTCACTCGAAATATGTTTGTGGAAGGAAACTGGCATGTTGAAGTTTGCTCTGGGGCCAGAGTCAATCGAACTGAGCCACTCCTTTGTGTTGACCCATTGCCTCCAAGTTGCCCAATTTTTCGCTTCAAAAAAGTTCAAATCAGAGGTGGCTCCAAACCGGACACGTTTTAGAGTGCCCGTCAAATTCACTCTGGGTCTGAAATTAGGTAATTGCTATCGCTCCACGACGGCCAGTACAGAGTAACAATAAGCCTTGTGTGTGCTTCCATTAGTTTTGATTGGTATGCGGTGCTTTATTGTCGAGAGGCGAGCCGCTGTTTACCTGCGACAAGAAGTTGATTTTTCGAAAGTCGTAAAACTCAAGTCGCAGTGCGAAGCAACACGTCAAAAACTCACCTGCTTGATATGGCGCTTCTGGTCATCGCAGAGCCATGAAATTTTGGCTCGGAGTATAACACATCGTAGTCTCACTGTGACATAATGTTTTCTAATCAAAATACCAAGAGAGAAAGTGAATATTGAGTCCGTTCCGGTTTGCAACCTATTTCCTATTTGAAACCGTCGCCTCTACACTGCACAGCGCGCCTAGCGCCTGGCGTCTGCTGGCAAGCATGCTATGCATGAGCTTGCTCTACAGTCAGAGTTTTGTTCTTCTTTTCTAGATTTTTTTCTCATAATCTCATTATCTCGTTACCGCGCGAGCAGGTGTGCAGAGTGCGTGTAGATGTGAAGAGGGCTCTCGATACGCTGACTCAGTTTTCTGTTTACTACAGCACCACGCTAGTACTAGTACTACTGCATTGACTGACCTGTACTGCGCCAAGGACGGTACATTGGGTTTGCATTTGGTGACAAGGCTGCATTGATTCGCTTGAGAGAAAAGCTAATTTTCTGAAAGGGAGACCAGTGTCAACGTTCCCATCGAATGGTAGCGCGCGCCTCCCTTGCCTGTGCGATGTCCTGCTTGCCAGGCTGCCTCCTGCAGTGACGACGAACTTTGTAGTGCGTCTGCTGTGTGTGTGCTGGCTGCTGGTCGCTGCAGAGTGCTGGTTGCCTCCGACGCAGACGTGAAGAAGAATGAGTGAAAGCGATACAAGTACGTCGGTGGTGGCTGCACCGGACGCTTCCAGTGGCGCAGCTGTGGATAAAGAAGGCGTCGAAACAACATCACCACCGCCAGCAGGGGAAGCAACAGCGGAGGGGCCACCGCCCAGTGCAAGCGGGGAGTCGGGAAGCGAGTCAGCAGCGTCTGGCCAGGCAGCGTCGCAGCGTCCTCCCAGCAGCAACAGTTCGACAGGAGCAGAAACAGCGAGTGGCAATGCAGCGACGACAGCAGGGAGCAGCAGCACAGCTTCCCAGACCACCAAAGTCATCTACCACGTGGACGAACAGAAGACGCCATATCTACTCAAAGTGCCTGGCCAAGCTGGTGAGATTACCCTCAGTGACTTCAAGGCAGCACTAAATAGGCCCGGGGTGTCTTTCAAGTACTTCTTCAACAACGTTGATGATGATTTCGGGTGAGTCTCCCCTTTCAAGTAACTAAGTTACTTCTGCATTTTAATTTTCTTGTGAGATTCTAGACCGCGCCGTACATGCTGTCAGGGATAGGCGGTGGAGTGCATGCAGTGGCGACTTTTTCATTCAGACATAACTAATGAGACAGTGTACTGGTATGCGTGCTGGGCGCTTACAGCACAAGTGCCTATCGGGTATTTTGCTGGTGCCTTTTCTGCTGCTGCTACTGCTGCTGCTAGAGGCAGTTAGCATGTACACGAAGTCATTCTGGAAAACCCCTAGCTTTGGATGCCGCGGAGAAAGGCCAGGGGCTGAGGCACGATGCTTCACTGCCGCTTTTGAGCTATTTGCGAATGATCTTGTGAATGGTCCCTATCCCTAATGTCTGTTTAGTGTTAACTGTTAAGTATCAATGAAAAACTCTCCTTTCCTTCACTTTGCCTACATACATGCATCAGATTCTATTGATGACTACAATGTAGGAGATACATTAAATTTTGACACTGTGGATGCACAATGACTATTATGTGTCTTGCCAATCACCAAGCATACCTGCACGATCGTAATACTGTTGGTCCCAGAAGGTACCTTATTACATACAGCACACCATACCTGTGCAGATTTACAATACTGGTGTTGTTATCTTGAAAAAATAGAAACGAATAGTGGTGGTGTTGCCAGACACGTGTTCCTGGCATCTGAAGTGATTTGTAGCGTTTTCCTCGGCTAGTTGCTGTGCTGTACTGTGTACAGCGTGTGCTCTTAGTCTTGCTTACTTATTGCTGCTGCTGCTGTGTGCCATTGGTTGCGTGCACTGCAGGGTTGTCAAGGAGGAAGTGGACGAGGACAGTGCTGTGCTGCCAGCACACAAGGGACGCATTGTCGCCTACGTGAGTAGTCCAGTCTCAGTATGAGTCCACTGATAGTACATTGTAGTTCCACGGTAGTACATTGTAGTTTCCAACGACTACGTGTACAAGGGCCCATGTAGTTGTGTTCCGCGGTCAAACTCATTCCAGAGCACTGCAACCTGGGTGAAGAATTTCTCTCTCCCTCTCTCTCTCTTCATCACTTCTGGAATGCACGGAGTAAGCCTGCCACTTCAGAATTTCTAGATTTGAAGTGATAAGCAGCATCCGGACTGGAGTGCAATGACATTAGTCATTATGTACAGATAAGAGTCAGCAGAATGATCCTCCCGCCTAAACTTCTAGGCGTTTGCGTTGCACCTAGATCTACTACTACTAGTACGCCCAGATATATCATGATGTAGTACTGGGTGGGTTGTGTGTGTGTGTGGGGGGGGGGGGGGGGTACTTGGTGTTGCATTGAACCAGGATCCACCACATACTGTCTTTGGCTTGGGCAGTGCCAGTAGTCTTAGTACTGCCTGTGCTGCTGGTAGCACTGGGATGGCCATCATGCCATCATAGTGTGAACACAGTCACAGCATAGTACAATGTAGTTCCTGTATCAGGATTGGCGGCCCGGGCATGGTCTGGAATTATGGTCTGGAATTATGGTCTGGAATTATGGTCTGAAGTGGTACATGACAACATTTGCTGTGACACAGAATCTTGAGGACTTTTTCCACATCTCCCTTGCACCCGCTGTGTCGCGAACGCGATCGTAATTTCCATAATTATCACTTAGACATAAATTTGTAGTGCTAGAGCCTACTTTTTCTGACCTTGCCGCGCTCCTTCCATATTCTGAATGGCTATAGGCATGCGCAGTATGGTACGCGCGCATATTAGGCATGCGCGATCTTGACCCGTATAAATTAGGCATGCGCGTTCCTAATCAGCCTCTCCTTTTTATGATCACCAAGATTGACCTCGTGTTCTTATGGCTCTTGTGTGAATCCAAGTTTGCAGGCAGCTCGCCTTTTAGAGCAAGATGTCATGAGTGGATTGTTTGCAGTGCAACTGGCATGAGTATTGTTAGATCAGGGTAGTCGCACGGCGACATTTTTGGTGCCGAAACCAATACTGATGCCGGATATGGTGTGAGACCGAGAGCAGATATGGCAGAACCAGACTCCATCAACGCCCAGGCGAAGACGAAACGGAAGGTGCTGCAGGCCCACGTGAAGTTCTTGAAGCAGCGCTCCGCTGAGGCCAACACATTGCTGTCTGGCACTCCAACTCCGGACGAGATAAGTAGTCTGATTACTGTATTTGCTTCTACGATAAAGAAAGGCGAGGAATTGTTCGACCTGTTTGCTAATGTGGTATACGACTTTGAGGCTACAAAAAAGGGTGATAAAGAGAAAAAGAAACACGATGAGCAGTATGTCGATGTTGTTGTGGAATTAATTACGGAATGCAATGATCTATTAGCACAGTTACGAGGAAAGTCAGCACAGTGTAAAACAGCATCACCAGTGGAGATCATAGATCTGACGAAGGTCATGGAAGCCAATACGAAAACACAGGCAGAAACAGCGAAGCTATTAAACCAGTTTGTGTCAGAACAAGGTGCCGCCAATGGCACTCCAGTCACAGTATCAAGTTCAACGAAGCTTCCTGTCCTAAAAATACCTGTGTTCAATGGCAATGTGTTGCAGTACCCAGAATTCATTGACATGTTTGAATCCACTATTCACAATAATACCAAGCTGTCCAGTGTGGAAAAATTAGTGTACTTGAGAAATCACCTGAGCGATGCAGCACTAGATACCATAACGGGCATTACCTTAACGGGCAAGAATTATGCAGCAGCATTAGGGCTTCTAAAAGAGCGATTTGGAAAGCCACAAGTAATTGCCAACATGACGTATCACAAGCTTGTTGCCATTAAGCCACCAGTGAACACACCAGTAGCGTTACGGAAGTTCCAAAATGAAGCAGAGGCGCACTTGCGGTGTCTGAAATCAGCTGGTTCAGACATCCAGCAAGAGATAATCGTACCGCTACTGATGTCAAAACTGCCAAAAGCAATAATCATTGATATGGAGAAAAGAAAAACCGGTGATAATTGGTCTGTGGGCAAACTACTTACGGTCTTGGGTGCATTAATTGATATCCTTGAAGCAAGTGATCACATGGCATCTGTACACTTCACACCTTCTAATGGGCGGGTACACAGGGAAACAAACCAAGAGGGTATGGCCACCAGTTCCTTACTAATGAATCAGACCACGCACAAAGGCCCGAAATGTTGGTATTGTGGAGGGTCACACTACACGGATGAATGCCCAACATATCCAACGTATGAGAAACGGAAAGAGAAAATCACAAATGAATGTTTCGTATGTCTGAGGAAAGGACATAGTGCAGCAGATTGCAGAGCTGGTGCACGTACATGCTACCATTGTGGGAAACGTGGGCATCACCGGTCATTATGCATGAAGAAATTTGATCCACAATCCAGGCTAGATCCAAAGGCACGAGAATTCAAAAGTGCAAAGCCAACCAATGTTCAATCTTGCAATGCAGAGCTAGTGCCGCCTGTAGCTGACGTACATGCAACAAATGAAGTTTACTCCCAGAGCAATGTGGTACTAATGCAAACAGCAATGGCAGAAATCCAGAATGGTGACCACACTTGCAACGCACGCATCTTGTTCGACACCGGGTCGTCCCGTTCATTTGTGCACAGAAATGTCACTACCTCACTACACAGTAAACCAGTTGGTCAAGATGTTTTGGCTGTAGCCGGGTTTGGTTCCAAGACCAGAACTACTCGCACTTACCCTAGGGTAGAGTTACAAGTCAAATTACGTGATGGCTCCTTCCAACCGATATCTGCAAATATCACTGACCACATCTCTTGTCCAATGAATATGGCTCCGTTAGATTTGTCGAAACATCCAGCCATTGCAAAATTGCCACTAGCTGAGCCCCTTGGCACTGAAAGCACCCAGGCTCCGATTGACATACTAATTGGGAGCGACCAGTACTTTGAATTTGTGGGTCTGGAGCATTTGAAATTGGGAAATGGGATTGTAATGCTTGACACGAAACTGGGTTTCATCCCGACGGGTAAAGCAGACCAACATGATTCAATGCCAGATATCCATGCAATGTGCACGTCTGTTGAAAGCGAAGTACAACATCCAGATTTCGACCTACAGAAATTCTGGAAGCTAGAGCAGATTGGCATAGATGAAGATAATGGAGTCACAGATGACACCCTAGCGTACGACAACTTCAATGCAAATGTTGAGTTCATTAATGGTCGTTATGTAGTGTCATGGCCATGGAAATTAGACCCAGAAACTTGCCTACCAGAGAACTTTGATTTGGCCAAAGGTAGATTGAAATCTCTCATGCACAGAATGGAAAAAACACCAGAAGTACTCACGAAGTATCACGAAACGATACTGGGACAAATGGAAATGGGTGTAATTGAAGAAGTCAACGACTCTAGCAGCGAATTACGCAGTGACAACAACAATGGCAGTCACACTGACAACAACACAGAGAGCAGCGTACATCACTACATACCACACCACTGTGTAGTCAAGCCGAGCAGCACGACGACGAAGATACGTGTAGTGTACGACGCATCTGCCAAGACGAAGGAAGGCAACAAGTCACTTAACGAGTGCATCCACAGAGGCCCAGTGCTGCTGCCAGACCTTTGCGGCATCCTCCTTCGCTTTCGTTTGAATCCCATAGCAATGAGCAGCGATATTGAGAAGGCGTTCTTGCAAGTCGGCTTACATGTCCGTGACCGCAATGTCACACGCTTTCTTTGGGTTCGAGACCCCAGCAAGCCTCCCAGAGGTGACAACATCGTCATCTACAGATTCTGCCGCATCCCCTTTGGCGTAATCGCAAGTCCATTCTTGCTTGGTGCCACCATACGACACCACATCAATTCTTCAGAGAACACGCAATCGCAGGCTGTAGAGAATAACACTTACGTCGACAATGTCCTCGGCGGAGCGGAAAGCGTAGAAGACGCAGTAGAGTACTATCGAGAAGTCAAGGGCATCTTCGCTGATGCATCAATGAATCTACGGGAGTGGGCGACAAACTCCGAGTCCCTCAAGCAGCAGATCCCCGAGAGCGATCGCGCAATCGCTCAACTCGTCAAGGTCCTTGGTATGGAGTGGGACACAAACTTGGATGAGCTAGGGCTCACTCCAAACCCAGCTGAACTCAAAAACGTTCAGACGAAGCGACACATGCTGAGCGTGTTATCATCGTTCTACGATCCACTGGGAATCTATTCGCCAATCGTATTCCGCGCGAAGGTTCTACTTCAGGAGATCTGGAAACTGAAGTGCAATTGGGACGATGTCTTGCCAGCAGCTATTCTTACAGAGTGGCATGAGATAGCTCATGACTTATCCACAGCCAGCCAAACCAGAATACCAAGACTTGCGAGTTTCACTTCCAACGTTGAACCGAGGTATGAGCTCCATGTTTTCTGTGACGCATCAAAGGCAGGCTACGGAGCTGTGGCGTATCTACGCACTATCTCGACGAACGTGTCTGTTCACTTACTCTTTGCCAAGTCTCGTGTGGCACCGTTAAAGGAAACAACAATACCAAGGTTGGAGTTACTCGCAGCCACGCTAGGTGCTCGAATGATCAACTTCTTACGGAAAGAACTCCCTCTTCAGCTCACTACGTACTTGTGGTCAGATTCTCAATGTGTGCTAGGATGGGTGAAAGGGAAGGACAAGGATCTGCCGACGTTCGTAGCACATAGGGTCGCAGAAATCCGCCGCAATGAAGACGTGCAATTCTGTTATGTGAACACAAGAAGCAATCCTGCCGATCAACTCTCACGAGGCACCACGACTGCAACCCTCCTCAAGAGTAATCTGTGGTGGACAGGTCCCGAGTGGTTGGCGGATGTACAATGGGCACCGGATACTGATTCTTGTCAAGAAGAAGTCGTTCACGCCGCGTTGTCGGGGGAGGGTCCTGCGGAGCAACAGGCGAGCAACCCCCCACCGGCTGGTATTCGTATTGAGAAATCATCATCCTTCGCGAAAGTGATCAGGGTTACAGCATGGGTACAGCGTTTCATAAAGTCAGCAAGAAAGTCTCGTCCAACATCACCATACTTATCGGTTGACGAACTTCAGACCGCGGAAATGCTTTGGCTGAAACATGCGCAAGCCAATGATTACTCAGCAGAACTGGAAGCCATCAAGAACAACAAGAAAACCAAGAGCGACTTGATGTTCAAGTTGGGTCTCTTTATTGATAAAGAAGACGGCCTAATCAAGTGCAGAGGCAGGATGAAGAATGCAGAACTGCCATCAAATGCTAAATTCCCGATTCTCCTCTGCGGAAAGAGTGCGCTGACGAGATTGATCATTTCCGATGTACACCAGAGAGTTCTCCACGCTGGCGCTAGTCACACGCTTGTGGAATTACGTAAACGCTTCTGGGTAACACGAGGCAGAAAAGAGGTCACGAATGTAGTTAATCAGTGCAAAGTATGCAAACGGTTTGAGGGTGGCCCCTTTGCAATGCCCAAGTTCGCACCTCTCCCCAAAGAACGGGTAACCCGCAGCGCACCTTTTGTCAGGACTGGCATTGATTACTTTGGGCCCCTGACTGTTAAAGCCAATGGAGAAAACAAGAAAGTTTGGGTGGTACTGTTCACTTGTCTGGCAACACGGGCGTTGCACTTAGAGCTTGTACTACATAATGACTACTGACAGCTTTCTAATGGCGTTTAAGCGATTCGTCGCTCGCCGCGGTACACGGGCGACTGAGAGTGCATCCAGTAGTGATACCACCAGCACGACTCGGCCCAAGCGGCACGCAGCAGCTCGGTTTCAAGAACAGCTAGGTGAGCTTATACGAGACAGAGCAGTTTAGTAACAAGAATGAGTGCACTGGATAGTAAGCTATGCTATGATGGTCTGAACACTTGTACACCCACAAACTCACACATGCATACACACATACACCCACACACCTATACACTGTACATACACGGCGTGAACACGATTGCCTTCTGATCTTTGTTATGAACATGCTGCTTATGCGAACCTCCTTTGCTAGATACACTGCAGTATACATGTTCTATTGAAGTAGTTTAAAGGTAGATTGCCTTATTTCCGAAGGTGAACTTTCAAGATGAGTATTCAGATGCATGAACAGTAAGTTGATCTGAAGATGTAACTAGTGTCAATATATCATGCAGTCAGTCAGTATAGTAACGGTATCATTGAGTCAAGTTTGATACAGCTCTCCCACCAGTACGTCGTTTAGGTACCGTAGATCATTTTCGGCACAGATTTGTATTCGTGATTTCAAGGCTGACAGTATTCGGAGCTATTTACATTGCATGTTCCTTTCTTGACATTCAGTTCATTGTGTAAATATGTTTACTGAGTATCATTCTTCATTTCTTCTCGCTGGCCGGAATGTCGCGAACGCGATCGTAATTTCCATAATTATCACTTAGACATAAATTTGTAGTGCTAGAGCCTACTTTTTCTGACCTTGCCGCGCTCCTTCCATATTCTGAATGGCTATAGGCATGCGCAGTATGGTACGCGCGCATATTAGGCATGCGCGATCTTGACCCGTATAAATTAGGCATGCGCGTTCCTAATCAGCCTCTCCTTTTTATGATCACCAAGATTGACCTCGTGTTCTTATGGCTCTTGTGTGAATCCAAGTTTGCAGGCAGCTCGCCTTTTAGAGCAAGATGTCATGAGTGGATTGTTTGTAGTGCAACTGGCATGAGTATTGTTAGATCAGGGTAGTCGCACGGCGACACGCTGTGAGCCTGTGACCCAGTGGAAGTGGATTGGATTACATCATGTTCTCTAGCTGCTTATCTGTCTCTAGCGGCCCATGTACATATGCCTGCCATAACTATTAAATCAGTCACATGGATGAGAGAAAACTACTCTTGTGCAATACAAAAATGCGGTTTCGGTGGAATGTCTATGATTGACCTAACACATGTGACGACTCCAATCACATTGGTCCAGTAGTTCCTATCCACAGGATGGGCCTGTGTGTGAGGCTGTGGTCGAATACTGGTACTGACAGGACTGATGCCTGTGCAATATTAGGTACTGGTATTAGTTGCTTTATTTCCTTGATTGAAAAGTCATGGCACTGAGAGCTATGCTTTGCTTTGCTTATGGCGTGTGGGTTGGTTGGTGTTCACGTTGTTGTTATATCCACGTAACACACGTGTAGCCTGTATGGTGTGTACATAGCGTGCTGTGATAGGTAGCCTTGTGTGTGATGTGGGATATGTGGATACAGCCTTACAGGTCCCTTTCCCTCAGTAGTTTGTACATTACATACATGTACCCATGTACCTCACCTGTGATTGCCAAGTAGTTTGTGTTGCTGATTTCCCTGGCATTGCCACACTAATTGTTGTCTTTCATGCATCGAGGGTAATGTTATTGGCATCCCATCAGAGGGATGGAGCTAGCACACCTGCATGGAGTGCATCTGTCTGCTTTTGTATGACATTTCCTTGTGAACATGTCTTGCCCTGAACAAAGGTATCATGTAGCTATTTCTCCAGCCCAAAAGCTGATTCGCTCTGCCTCTGGTTCCACAACCCAGTCTAGGCTACATGTGCTACTTGGTGTTGGGCCTGCATGTCTGTATACGGGGTAGGACTGAGTTTACACATGGCATCATGATGAACATGAGTTTCTGGCAGTCAGCATTGACAGCTTGAAGAGCCGCGTGGACTAGGCATGATTATAAAGTGTAGTTCCTGCAGTACCTTTCCTACTGCATGCTAGGTCAGTTACCATGAGAAGGGCTGGACGGTATGTATGGGAAGTTGGGGAAGAAGCCAATCTGCTGACAGGTGTGAAGAGCAGAGCATGAGCATGAGCATGAGCATGCCTGTTGAGGATGTACATGTACATGGCCTGTTTCAGTGTTTGCCTACTCACTGACCCATCCACTGACCCATCCACCGACTCATCCACTGATCCATCTCTTCTTGCTAATGAAGTGGCTACTTTGTCAGCACAAGGGTGTATAATATTATACACTGTCACTGCCATGCAGTGGAACCAGCTGCAGTAGTGACTGAAATATGACCATTGGCCGACTGGCACTGAGCGGGCTACCAGATTACCCTGCCCAACCTAATGTATCAATTGAAATTCTATTCCATTATGTAATGTATATTCTAGCTGGTCTTGTACTTGTAGCAAGACTCTACTGGGGTCATGTGCTCTACTATGTACATGTACTTTGTTGTTTTGTCCAGTAGGGCATTCTTTCCATGCCCTTGGTCTTGTTACTACGTTTTTTCTCTTGGACATGTGGGGACAGGGTGCACGGAAACTGGGTTTGTGACCAAATTGCCCCACTACAGGAAGTTTTTTGGAGCGGCCTCCCTTCCTGCCTGTCACTGCTGGTGTGTATCGGCTTTTACAGTCTTGACAGGCCGTGCCGGGCCTTTCAGTGGTTTTCCATTTCAGTTGTGTGAGCCGGTGGTGGAGTGGGTAGGCCCACATACATAGCCCTGTCTCCTTTATCCCAGTATTTGCTCAATATATTATGCTGTCAGTGTCAGCACTGGGTGACTGACCCACTCACACGGTGAAGAGCTCACTGCTATCATTGACTGAAGCAGGGACATGGTACTATGTTGCATGCTCCATTGGCTGCAGATGGTGGCCTGACACCATGCCTGTTGGCAGTGTTGCTGTGAGCTTGTGACCATGATGGTGTGTCACTGATATCATTATATTGCAGAGCTAATCCATGACACACTCACACCACATACTCATTGCACTCATCGCTCTGCCACGTATGGTCAAGTAGACATGTATGTGTAGGGTTGTGTGTGTTGGGGGGGGGCATGCAATGATTATGAGTGTGATGGTGTGTGCACCGTCCACTACAGTACTGCATACTGTCTGAGTGTCTACTGACCTGTATCAATACGGTGACATGTACTGTGTCGATGTGCCATGTGTATCAATCTGTTTTTGTCACCATTCCTCCACAGTGCAGTGTTGTGTCCTCGATCACCTTGAACTCCCCCGTCCCCCGTCCATGCACACACTTTTGGGCAAAGCGAAAGCCCGAATTGCGTTATCCAGGCACAATCTGTTGCCCTCGGTAGCAGATTTGTACAGCCGGATTAATCTACATACATACATGTACCATATGTTGAAAAAAAAGCCGGTGTGTCCCTAAGATTCCTTACGTGACATCATGCACACACATTACATGGTCGAGGGCTTTGTCTCTTGTGTCGTCAGTAAGGCGACGAAAACACATGCCCTGTGACCAGTTTACTCTGTCTGTACACACTATACACAGTGTATTGGTTGAGGTGATGTGTCGCTGCAGTGGTGTTAGTGATATCACTAGTTGTCTGGTATTCGGCACGCAGATTAGCCCGTCTCAGGCTGATAGTCATATTATACACGTGTTCTCTGCTGTGATTGTGTGTGTGTGCGTGTGCGTGTGTGTATGCATGCATGCAGTTAGTAACAGGTGATAGTCAGTCTGATACTGGCCATGGGCCGTCGGAATCTGATCGTGGTGGATCACTGTCGGATATATCCGTCGTCCAGTCTGCATCAACAAAGGGCCGGCCTCCGAGCAGCGGTCGTAGTGGTTACAGGTAAATCCATGATACTTCTCTATTACGAACTTTTGGGAAATGTTCCATTTGATGTTCAACCCCTGGCCCTGTTGACTTGATATCATATTTCCATTTTCGCAATGAGTAGTGACAGTTGTGTGCTTCATGCAAAAAACGTGCCGTTTCTGCTGGTCTCGAATGCTGCTTGGATGGTTACTTGAACAGTTTGGAATGGCCCACAACACATGATGGAGGAACGCATTGTATTTCCTTCTTGAATTGCTATCCCTACTCCTACTGTCTACCCGCCTCACATTTCTTGTTTGCATCTCTCGATCTGCCTCACTGTCCATGTTTAGCAGCAGCAGAAGTAGGAGCCGGCGTGATGGCAGCAAGGATGGTGGAGTGGACAGTTCTGGCGATGGTGCTCATTCTGCTAGTCCGGGTCCTGGACGCTCATCAGGTGAAGATGATGACAGACGACGTCATCGCTCCTCTCATGCAGGTTAGCTGCTGGATTGGGCTGTAGTATTGGGACTGAGGACTTTGCAAAACCAGGGAGTCGTAGCATCTAAGAAGACGGCATGAAACTATCGTGCACACAATTTGCTTTTGATTCCATGTTTCAGAACGCACACGCACACACACACTCACACGCATACACATTATTTATGTTCTGTCAGTGATGGTGATACGGTGTCTGGTTGGTACCCACTGGGTAACAGGTATTTGTTTATCAGGGGCGTAGGAAGCAGTTTAATATTGGTGCGGCGAGATTGTGAGAGGGGGTCCGGGGGTCCTCCCCCGGGATGTTTTTTTGAAAATTGGGCCTAAAAGGCCATATTTTAATGCTACAGAATAATATGAGAAATAAGAATATCATGCTGATGATACACCGCATTGTCGATGTAAAACATGGTACCTGTACAGGAGTCGACAAGCCATCAACAAGGTTGAAATGTAAAAAAAATAATAATAAAAAAATTCGAAAATTATTGGTCCGGCGACCGCCGGGCCTGTCAGACCAGTTCCTACGCCCATGTTTATCCCCTCTGTGCTGCCCCTGCTCAGGTAACAGACAGCAATATAGACCATCTGGCCGCTCGTCTCGATATGGTAAGTACTCTTGCCGTTAATATGTGCACTGAAGTCTTGTCTAGGTTAACGTCTCAACGGGCAAGTTAAGAGGAATAAAGGAAGTGATCGATGATGATACTATCAAACTTGATTATTGGTAATTGCAAATACCAGCATCATCATCAGTGAGGTGATTGGATATAATTCACTGCGTTTATGTCTAATGTCTCTGTTGCAGCAAGTGGTGCCGATACTGACCTAGCTACCGATGCTACCATGACGGATGCATCGTCCATCATGACGGCCAGTGAGTTTGGCGCCAGTAGTTACTTTGAGTCGGACTCTGCCAGCCGCCTGAGTGGAGTGGATGCCAGGAGCATGCGACAGATGAGAAAACGATACAAGCGCAAAAAACAGCGGCGGCTACCAAGGGTAAGGCCTAGTCTCTCACTTCTGTGTAGGAATGACTTCGAAGTACCCATATTGATTCGTGTTGCTTGGGAAGAAGCACAGGTTTTATTGTGTCTATTTTTGCCATTCACACCGGTAATAATTTTGCTTGACTGATGCTCTGCAGCATGTGCAGCGGACAATTGCTTATAAAATTACATTATTATCCTGATGGTGAGACTGCACCACTGTCTCCCAGTCAGGGGTTCTTTTGCTTGTTGTGTATAATAATTGTCTCTTATTTGAACTTTGTACTTCAAGTAAGTTGTCATACTGCAGGGAATACAGGAGCTAAACCTGAAGTCACACTGACCAACAACGCAGGAAACATTAGTATGCACAGCAGTGGAGCTGGGCCACACGTTCACCTTCTAGATTATAGGCCGAATGCACATGTATTGTGTAAAGTGTTTATACATGACTATATGGTGTTGTCTTCTCTGCTTGTACTTGCAGTACTCATCCTGCAGCAGCTTTACAGAGTCAACTGTTGACTCGCTCAACATCATCGTTGTCACGCTTGATATGGGTGAGATCGACAGATATGGAACTGATATTCACATTTAGTCTTCCATCCTGTGCTTGATGGTCCTGTAACCAAGAGTACAGGAAACCAAGAGTGTGCAGCTCGAATAGGTTGCTGCGGCCCTGGCAAAGGTCCTGGATTACATCATTTTAGAAGTTAGTGGTGTAGTGCGTACAAGCAGGATCCAAGTAGGTCTCCTGCTGCACAATTGCAGCTCAGCTGTGTGCACTACCCCGCTTCCGGGGGGGGGGGGGGGGGGGGGGGGGAGAGTAGGTCACCGATTTTGATGTTGGTGGTAACTGGTAAGAAAAAGAAAGGTCCAACTCTGTAACCCACAGCCCACCGTACTTGCAAGCGCAAGCATAGACGACTGCACCAGCTGTGTTTGTCTCCCCTGCTGTCGTTTCTTCTTAGCCTGTTGCTGCCGTACAAGTTTCTGCCGGTGTGCCTGGATGGCCAGTTATGTTGCTTGTCCAGCTGTTCTCAGTAGGGCACTGGCGCCCGTACGACTTTCAGGATGGCTGCCTTATCTGCTTCTGATTTAGCAGCTAGTCAACTCATCGTCTTGTTGTTGGCGAGCATTGTCATTGACTCGCTGGCTAGCGTAGTTGCATTGGGCCTTTCGCGTAGGAATCTGTCCAGTTGCCCAAAATCATGCTCTGAGAGAACATTTGTCTTTGGCAAATGGCGCATGCTGGCGGCGTCCGCGTACACACACACACAAACGCATGTACTTGCGCATAGGAAAGGATCCAAAATAATCAACCACAGGCATTTACCCAATACACACCTGAGTGTGCACATCTTAGTTGTGGCATCCCTATTTCTACAAAAGCAGGATTTAGAAGTTCGTCCCTGGTTCAGAACACAAGCTTCTGGCCAGCGTTTTCCTTACACCATCAGTGCAGTACAGTGGTTGACACGAACCTCATTCCTACAAGGACAGTAGCCCAAGTTCAGCAGCTCTGAGATGCGTCGTCCACTGAGCTCAGGATTCTCTAGGCCTGGTGACCCTACCTAAAAACTATACCAAATTGAAGAAGAGACATCACTCCACCATTCTATGCATAAAAAACAGGGTGTCCATGGACCTTTTATTTTTACTTCTTTAGGTGGGAGCCTCCTTAACTTCTGCATCGCTGCTGGCTGGTGTTGCAGTGTGGACGTCTGCTTCTGGAAATGGCCTGCTGCTACCATCCTACAGGTCTGAGGCATCCTCTGCTCAAACTGCTAACTGCTACGTTTGCTGATGGTAAATGGTGAAGACGGCAGTGAATGGGCAAGCGGATACTTAGTACAAAAAATCGCCACAGCGGACCGGTGACAATCTTGCCAATGATTCCCAGTGCACAATAACGTGGATCATCCAGATCTTTCGCCACTGCCTCAATCAGCCTGTTCTTTTCTGCAAAAGAACAGTACTCCGTCATGAGCGCCTTGAGATAATGAACCCCTGCAGCATCGAAGAATAAAATGTTGAATCTGTTGCCTTTAAAAGCGGGCAACGGTAGAGCGGTGATACCACGACTGGCGCAGAAGATAGCGAAGTCATCCATTCATCCTGCCTGCTCACTGCCATGGCATTCAAAGGCTTTGCATGCAGTCCTGATAAGACGGGTGGTTCCAGCCTCTTCACTGTTCTTTGCAGCGTCTCCCTCCAACTGGCTGCTCTCGTACTCCCACAGGGGGGGGGGGGGCATTGATAGAATGGGGTGTACGGGAATTCCTGCTTTGTGAATGTTGGGGGCGAGCATACATGCATGGCTGCTCAGTACCAATAGGTTTCATTACATTTGCTTCAGTCTCTGAAAGTTCTTCAGACTGAACAATACTAGTAACAAGGCTATCAAGGAAGTTGGAAAGTTTGGTCTCAATTTTGCACGTGCTATCACAGGCCTCAGCAGGACCAAGCCCCACGGACTTTGAACGGTCATTCAGAATCGACATACTAGTAGTCTTTGCTACATCAGTAGTCGACCTTATTCACGATCACCGTCGCTCGACACGGTTGTCAGGTCGAGTGATCATAATATCTGAGTTGTTTTGAGGTTTGCGTCGTACAAGGAAATGTGCGCGTGGTAACGAGAATGACCGCAGGCCATTCTTATTCTCCGGGTATTCGTGCACGATGGATGACGGAATGGACGCACAACCATCAATGGCAGATTTAGATTTAGAGGCGCGCACCTTTACAAACGATCATTGAACAGCTCAAACTCATCCAGAATCTCCTCTTTGCCATGTTTTCCCGGTACGTGTATTCCAAAATCCAATCCATGACACAGTAGCTCCTCCGTGTCCGATATTGAGAGACTCGACAGATTGATGATAAATGTATCTCTGCACTTAAAAAAAGGATCCACACTGTTCTTTCCTCAGCACGGATATCTTGTTAGAATAGCGCTCCACACGTTTCCGGCGCTGTTTGGTGTCACGCTCAGATACGACCCGAAAAAGGGAATGCTATCGAACGTGTTGAATGTCCTCCGTATCCTGGAGATGGTCTGGCTGTACTCTTTCCTCAGGTGGTCACTGTCAATCATAGCCTGGGCAATCCCATCACGGAAGAAGGCCTTCTCCATTCGTAGCAACTGGTGTACCTTTTTTAAGCCTAAAATCAAATTTCACCAGCCCGGCATAGTCTTCAGGGTGCTGAGTCGAATGGTCTTGGTCCGAGGAAGCTGAGACGCTCCCTTCCTACTTTATTCCCAATCGAACTCGCCACTTCCACCAAAACTGGGTGACTGCACCCTACTAAATGGGGATTTGTATGCAAAATGTTACTAAAAGCGCCATTTCGTTCTTATTAAAGCACGGATGAACGTAATTGGCCCATATGTTGTAGTCTTTTGGACGCTGAGTCGGCTGGTTTTGGTCTGAGAAGGCTGCAATGCAGCGTACGGCCCGTATTCCCAATCGAACATAGTTGAATAAGTGGTCACGTGCTCGTGCGTACACCAGTCATCTGGTCACCGTGCCTGCAGGGTACAACTTACAGCCTGTTTGGGCGCGTTCCTGTCACTCGAGTTGAACCGTTTAACCTTCAGTGGAACCGTGGTGTGAAAGTTTGTAGCCTGCAGGCACGGTGACCAGGTGACTGGGGTACGCATGAGCACGTGACCGCTTACTCAACCATGTTTGATTGGGAATAAGGGCCGAACACTGCATCACAGCCTTTTCGGACCAAAACCAGTCGACTCAGCGTCCAAAGGACTACAACAAAAAAAGGGCCAATCCCGTTCATCCGTGCTTTTATAAGAACGAAATGGCGCTTTTAGTTACATGTTGCATACAAATCCATTATCCCCATCTACAGTAAAACCTGTCAAGGCGACCACTCGGATAAGGCAACCACCTGTCCTAAAAGACCATGGAAACCAGGACCAATGGATGCTATTTCCAGTCAAATGACCCTGGATAAGGAGACCACCTGGTAACAGAGACCAGATTTTGAAGGTCCCTTGAGCGGTCGTCTTAGACAGCTGTTTCACTGTAGTAGGGCGCAGTCACCCAGTTTCGGTGGAAGTGCGCGAGTTCGATTGGGAATAAAGGAGGAAGGGAGCGTCTCAGCTTCCTCGGGCCCAGACCATTTGACTCAGCACCCCGAAGACTACAACTGGTGAAAATTGGATCTTAGGCTTACCTTCCCCTTAAGACGACCTCGGAGCGGAATTGAGGTGCTCTTCCTCATTTCGAGTGTGTCTCCTTTTTTAAACATGAACATGTATTCCATGCTTACTGCTGGTCTTGCTAATGCAGAGCCCATCAACTTTCTTGGAATCAGCATTGTCGGTCAGAGTAACAACGGAGGAGATGGTGGCATCTTTGTCGGTTCCGTGATGAAAGGGTGAGTGGAGTGTGCTAGCTGTATGTCTGCGTGATATGCAAGTGGAGTGGTTCGGCCGAGAGCCCAGTGCGGTGTGCATACTATTCTGGTGGACTTGGCCAGTACATGTAGTCACTACTAGTACTAGTTACTACTACTACCTAGTACTTACATCAATGCAGTGTGCTGAGAGTGGTTTAAAAATAAAAAAATACCACAGGGGCAGGGTAGAGAGCAGATTCTCAGCAGAACACCCAGTATCACTGACACCTCTAAATACCCACTGTTAGCATTCCTCTCTCCTAGTACTTGTACCGGGCATGCAGATACTGTAATTTCACAAAATTTTGGTGTACAGTGCGTATCGGTTATAGCATGGTCGTGTAAAAGAATATACTGCCTACAAGAATGAACTCTCCTATTTTCATAATCATAACATTGCTTTCATGTGTATATTTATTCTTACAAGCAATGTTATCGTGTAATAGAATATATCGGTCCTAAGAATGGACTTTGTGTAGTAAAACATGCCAGATTAGTACAAAGTGTATCGCCTGTAGTAATAACATCTGCCCGATACAGTTCTGAACCGACTCGAATTGCATCATAATGCTGCAAGTGCATCTGTTGTGGTCATGTAACTCATGTTGCTCAGCCACATGGTGAACCTATCGCCCAGTATGGGACTACTTTGGAAGTATGAGCAACCGCATACACAGTAGCACTACGTTGCATGTATGATGATCTTCCTGGCTATGCGCACATGCATATGATACGTCACACTATATTTATCGTGTGTAAGAAATATCGGAAATAAGAATAGAAAGTCGTTTTTCAAACACCCACGCTATAACCGATACCTACTGTACTTTTATTTTCGGTACTTTCGGTGCAGCTGTTTCATACCTAAAATTTCAATACACCGAACAAACACTAACACACATAATCCAATAGGGAACTGCTTCCCTGTACCTAAAATTTCCGTTCACCTAACCTGGCCTTTTGCCCTCATACCGAAAATATTGAGCACCGAAAATTTCTGAAATTGGAGTAAACACTATCCCCCATGTTGTGCGCTGATTGCGCAATGTTACAACACCCCAACCTGTGTCCCCTGTTGTACTGTGCACTGTGTACTCACTACTTCCGTCGGTACGCGTGTAAATCTTGTTCACTGCAGCGGTGCGGTGGATGCCGATGGCCGCATTGGCCCAGGTGACATGATCCTGCAGGTGAGTGTGCAGCTTGTATCCCCCCCCCCCCCCCCCCCCCGCTGTACAGTACAGTCAGGTGAGTGTGGCAGCTTGTACCCCCCCCCCCCCCCACCCTCTGCACAGTACAATAGAGTGATGAGACAATAGAGCGACTGTGATGTGCTAGGTGCTAGGTGCAGCTATATCGGCCAATGTCCCGTTTCAAGCAACGGTTTTGTTCAAGTGATCTATGTATTGAAGGCTATTCCGCTGCACTGTGTGTGTGTGTGTGTGTGTGTGTGTGTGTGTGTGTGGTGTGGTGTGTGTACGTGTGTGTGTGTGCAACACACCGGTAACAATTCCCACAGGTCAATGACTACAATCTGGAGGACATGGGCAATGATGATGCTGTGCGAGTGCTGCGTGATGTCGTGCAGAAACCCGGGTAAGTGTTGTACACACCCGCTGACAGAACAACCATACTGCCATTACCAATGATACTGACTTACTCTGCAGTGCCGAGAAAGAGCATGTTGGCTCGCGCATTCCCATTGAAATATGAAGCTGCAGAATGCCTCTGCCCTGCGCTAATATCACACTGCTAGCTCTGACATTACCTCTACAGCCTCCTGCCTACAACATCCACACACCTTGCTCACTATCTCCTTCCCACACCAGCCACACATTCTGTGCTAGCATTGCACTGTTAGCCCCTGCCTTCAACAACCACACATTCTGCACACAGCCTCCTGCCTAAAGTAACACCGCTAGGCCTGAAATCTATAGAGCCCCCACATTCTCACACAGCTTTTCATACAGCGCTACAAGACCCACCCTCTCCCGGCATATATACCGGCATGGTCGGCACCCCATCCTCATGTTGCCTAATGATTGCGAGAGCATGAAACTTGAAGTAGCAGCAAACAAGCCTTGATTGTCCTTGTTGTTTTGTTTGTGGAAGTATAATGATTATTAAAGGGGAAGTTAAGGCAAAAATTAAAATTTCACCAGTTGTAGTCTTCGGGGTGCTGAGTCGAATGGTCTTGGTCCGAGGAAGCTGAGACGCTTCCTTCCTACTTGAATCCCAATCGAACTCGCGCACTTCCACCGAAACTGGGTGACTGCGCCCTACTAGATGGGGATTTGTATGCAAAATGTCACTAAAAGCGCCATTTCGTTCTTATAAAAGCACGGATGACCGCGATTGGCCCATATGTTGTAGTCTTTTGGACGCTGAGTCGACTGGTTTTGGTCCGAAAAGGCTGCGATGCAGCGTTCCTCCTTTATTCCCAATCGAACATGGTTGAAGAAGCGGTCACGTGCTCCTGGGTGCCCAAATCAGCTGGTCACCACGCCAGCAGGCGACAACTTTCACACCAAGGTTCAACTCGAGTTCAACTCGAGTGACAGGACTGCACCCAAAAAAGGTCAAACAGGCTAGTAAGTTGTACCCTGCAGGCACGGTGACCAGCTGACTGGTGTACGCAGCAGCACGTGACCACTTGTTCGACCATGTTCGATTGGGAATAAAGGAGGAACGCTGCTTCGCAGCCTTTTCGGACCTAAACCAGTCGACTCAGCGTCCAAAAGACTACAACATATGGGCCAATCGCGGTCATCCGTGCTTTTATAAGAACGAAATGGCGCTTTTAGTGACATTTTGCATACAAATCCCCATCTAGTAGGGCGCAGTCACCCAGTTTCGGTGGAAGTGCGCGAGTTCGATTGGGATTCAAGTAGGAAGGAAGCGTCTCAGCTTCCTCGGACCAAGACCATTCGACTCAGCACCCCGAAGACTACAACTGGTGAAATTTTAATTTTTGCCTTAACTTCCCCTTTAACTTAGAAGTTGCGACTTCGGCGGTTATTGTATTTTCATATAGCTTGCAGCCTGTGTGTGTGTGTGTGTGTGTGTGTGTGTACGCGTGCATGTGTGCGTGCATGAACGTGGCTGTTTGTTATTGATGCAGGCCGATTACGATAACAGTGGCAAAGTGCTTTGATCCGACTGCTACTGCTGACTTCCACGGCATAGACCCAAGAGGTAGGCATGATTAATTATTACACTGGTTATCCTGCCTGTGATCAGTGACTAGTGACCAGTGACCAGTGACCAGTGATCAGTGACCCCAGTTTGCTCAAGACCTGTGGCTGTGCAATCTTGTGTAATGGCATATGGTTGCTGGTGTAGAAATGCCTGCTAGTGTTGCATGTGTGTCTCTATGTGCTCAGCTGATGCTGTCCAGCCAATCGACCCGTCTGCTTGGGTTCAACACACCGAAGCAATTAGAGGTGAGTAAGGGTGTGTGGAAGTGTGCACATGCATGCGTACCTGTGTGCTTTCCAATATGACATGATTGTACTCGGACACTTTTGAGGTTAAAAAAATGGTTTGATGTGCCATTGCTCAGTGTTGAAATTGTGCTGTGAAGTATGGCATACTAACTTATTGGGGTTGTGTGTTTGCGTGTGTGCCTGTGCGTGTGTGTATGTATGAGTGTGCATGTGCATGTGTGTGTGTATGTGTGTGTGTGTGTGTGTGCGTGCACGTGTTTATTGTACATGGTGTGCATTCCTGTAGCAATGTATGGGAGTTACACGAGCCCGACCATGAGTACAATCACCTCTGGCAGCTCTTCACTGAATAGCTCTTTACCAGAGGCAGAACGTAAGTACGCAAACACTTGCTTCCATATTGTTACACAGGTCACTCTTGCGGTTGTGCCTTGTGGCAAGCACTATGGTATACTGTAAGACATGTATATATAACGAGGAAGCAAATCTAACGTTTTAACGGATGACATTTATTCGTTATAATAAGATCCGTTGAGGCCGTACTGCTTCATATATGCTGTGTGTGGATATGGCAGAATACTGCAAGATCGTTAACATATCTTCTCGTTAACCTATGAATTTTGTACAATCGTTAAATTTGCGACTCGTTATAATAACATGTCTTACAGTAGGCTAGCGCCGTCATCACGTTGACTTTACAGCTGAATGCAGTGAAAAGTGTGGTACAGTACGAGTTTGGCTACATACTGTGCACACCATTGTTGCCTACTCTCGCCTCTTTCTGACCAGGATATGTTTTAGAATGCATTTACGAATAAGAATACGTGGTCTCAGGCAATGTCAAAGGAATGCCGTTGAAGTTTGCGGAATGGCTCATGGGTTTTATTCGGTTATTATGAAGCTGCATGATCACTGAGCGTCTGCATATTCTTGTCCTGCAGGGCCTATGCTGCCGGAAGGAGCTATTCGACTGTCATCTGAGACACCCATAGAGGAAGTGGCCCGGCACATGGCTGCGCCAAGCTCCGGTCTGGATGTGCGCGACAGGATGTGGCTCAAGATCAAGATCCCACGCTCGTTTATAGGTACGAAGAGTCTGCAAGTAGCTGTCGGGGAGTTCTTGCGTACAGTAGATGTGGCAGTTATATCCATACACATGTAGCTAGCTCTATGTGTACATGTACATGTATACCGGCAGTACAGGTGGCAATTGGTGCCTGTTCCCACTCTGATAGTGGAAGCGTGTTTTTCCTTTCGTGTGACTGGCAGGATCCGATGTTGTGGATTGGATATATTCACGATTGGATGGCTTTAACGAGCGTCGCCAAGCCCGCAAGTATGCTAGTAATATGCTGAAGGTGAGAATGACGCTACCATCTGTCACCCGCAGATATTCTACATTGTAGGAGCATATAGTGCCTAGTAACCATATTCAGCATGTACAAGCCTGATATCTCCCCTGTGTGTGTGTTCACCTGTTGTGAAGCTGTGACAGCATGTAACAGTGAATGTCATGCTCTATGCTGTAGTTTAAACAATTTGTGTGTGTGTATGCGTGCGTGTGTGTGTGTGTGTGTGTGTGTGTGTGTGTGTGTGTGTGTGCTACGTCAGGCTGGCTATTTCAAGCACACTGTGAACAAGATCACCTTCTCGGAGCAGTGCTACTATGTGTTCAACAAAGACCTCACTACAGGTACGGGGCAAGCGAAATACTGCTCTGCTGTGATATCACAAGTTCATTAGTAATTTAGTGTGTTGTGCGGCCACATTGGACAAAATGTTATGTGTATAGCAGGTCGCCAAGGCAGCTGTAAGGATGTATGGTGCTGCTTTGGTATTTGGTGATAGGAACCAGTTCAATGCGAGTAATCCTGCAATTCCATTGCCGTCCATTCCTAGGAAGGAGTCTGGCTTGTCTTTCTGCGCAGTGAATTCCTGAGACTGTTTTGTGTTCATCAATATGCTGTTGTTATGTTGTGTGTGTGTGTGTGTCGTGCTATGTTCCCTTCAGAATTTGCTCATCTTCGCATCGTAAAGGATGGCGACGACGACACACTAGCTACGTTGCCGGAGCACGGTGAAGTCTCCTACAGACCTGCCGGATACGGCATAGGCGGCCCACGGGCCTATCAGCAGTATGACCCGTTCATGGACGCGCAGACCTTGATGTCGGCATCCATGCACCGCACGCGCTCAAGTGGCAGCGGTAGCGGCAGCCCCAGTGGCCACAGTCCGTACGCCAGCACTGTTGGTCCCAGTCCCCCAGGCTCCGTGGCCATGTCCATGCAGCGCCAGTCTAGCTCCGGATCTAACCGCAGTCCTCGCAGCCCCACAGCCAGCATGGTGTCCAGGGCCAGTCGAGCTAGTACGTTAACAGGTGGCAGCTATAATATTGTTGCTGGTCGCCGAGTGTTGGATGAGTACGGCCAGCCATTGCCGGCGCCACCCAGTGAACAGGACGTGGCCAGTGAACGCCTACAGAAGCTGTCGTCTCGCCTGCGCCACGGCAGCATCACCAGTTTGAACACGCTCAGTTCTGTTCAGACTCACATGCGCGGTGGCGTGGGCATGATGCCCGGTGGGAACATGGCCTCCGACACCGCCAGTCTCTACAGCATTGCCAGTAAGGCCATGAACGACACCGCGTCGATTTGCTCGTCGCGAGTGTCGCGCCGGGGCCTGGAAGGTATTCCGGTCAACGTCACCACTAGCCAGCATAGCTTCAAGAACGCCATGGACAATCCTATCAACGATGGTTACTTTGTGGATGTGATGTAATGGGTGCTGTATGTTTGTGTGTGTGGGTTGCTGCATGGGACACTACTATGGATAACTGAGAAAGCAAAGACAATACAGATAGAGGTAAAAGACCATATTAATCCAACCGAATGTCCTATATTTTCTTACCAGCTGGCAGATATGTTAACAAAACAGACCATACTAAACAGACCATGTACAGGATTATCATCAGATCATCTTTTTGCAGATTTATCATATATTTTCCCAACTAACCCATTGCAGAGACAGTGAGTATCTTTAGCTTCCAGTAAATGCAGCTATAGAAATTATTCCAGGGAAAGGACAACTCACACATGCATCATGATGACTCATCATGACAGCGTATTTTAAATAAGAAGGAAGTAAGATTTCTTCTACGCATTCTGTAAATCTACATATCTGCCACATATCTGCGTTATGATGTATCTACATATATTTTTACTGCATAACAATAATAATTACCTGTTACTACGGCTTCTTATCTGTCTTCTGAACTCAACTTTACTTAGAGAGACAACGAAGAAGAAGAGTATTTACGAGTGTGCTTAGAACAAACTGAACATTGAGTTTGCTGAATTGTCAGTTTCACGCTGTGGGGATGCCGCACCAAATGCAAATGAAAAGCCCGAGGAACTGCCGCCACCCTGGCTGCCTCCACTCTGAGGTGATCCGGCTGCAGCACCGAAAGAGAACCCCGGGCTAGGCTCATTGCCCGTGCCCCCTGTGTCGCCGGTGCTGGCACCGCCAAATGAGAATCCAGCAGGGCTTTGAGAGCTGCTGCTGCCCTCTGGCTCACTGCTACCACCAAAGGAAAATGAGAACATACCAGAGTCTGGTGTAGAAGACGCAGCAGAACTGGAGTTGCAAGGTTCACCACCACCTCCTCCGCCACCGCCACCACCAAAGGAGAACGAGAAATCAGATCCAGCGCCGCTGCGATCGCCGCCACCGCTACCTACCTCTGACCCAGCTGAGGCGAACATGCTGAACGATGCGGATGAATCTTGGGTAGTGCTGTTGCTGTTGCATGGAGACATTGAGCCGAAAAGACCACCACCGCCACTGGCCTGCTGCTGCTGCTGCTGTTCAACTGAGCCTGAAAATGAAAAGTGGCAGAAATTGTAGTCGGTACCTATGGTGTTATTGTCTTGGATGGAGCCATGGGATTCCTCTTAGTCCACTTTTGGCATGGGTCTCTGATCTAGGAAGCCCTAGCTAGATCACCTGTCACTGGTCCATCTACAGTGTTGCTCAATGAAGCCTGGCCATGTGAGGCAACTAGCCGCACCGAGTACTCCACCCCATCAAGTACACTGTGCTGTGCAGCCCCAGAGCTGCGAACACTGGGCACTGGTTCAGCAGACCACTAACTTACTCGTGAGACTGGAGCTCAATTAACAAGTAGTATAGCATTCAAGTTGTAAACATTGTAGCTTACAAGGACAACAAATCTACTCTACTCACTAAGAACAACTCAAAACAGTCCACAACTCATTAGAAATTACAAGGAGCTGGAGATTATTGAAGCCTGATATGCATGCACTCTTACCCTGCGGGGATGAGGAAGATGGAGCCAGACTGGCTGCCAAAGCAAGGAATCCACTCGTTGGATCACCGTCACCAACCGCTTCTGTATCAGCCATCTGACAACAGGTACAAAGCAATAAAAACATGTCTTCAGGCTTGAGACTGGTTTGCTAAGAATGTAAAACTACCATCGCAAAAATCGGCCTGGTTTGGAAATTACCACCGGTAAAGATTTCATCGTCAAAGTTACTGTTTTACAGGTTACCCGCTAATACGCAGCATCCCATTATCACTAGTACCTGGTGAATGTGAGTACAGTCGAAGATTGATTATCGGTCCACCTCTGGGCAGCAGGCCCTGGGAAGGTGTTCGGGTAATGAAAATGTTCCAAATAAGGAAAATCTCACAACAGACCGATACCTGTGTCCGGTATATCACAGTACCCGCAACAACAGTCGTTTTCATGTTAGTTTTTGTCAGTTTCGTACGTTTTTGACTGTACAGCCTGTACACAGTGGTACAGGCAGCGAGTGCATGCTGCAGCAACTAACATTTCGCGCAAGCTCCCATAATGATAATGCGTGGCCTAAGCCACGTGCGATTCGAAAACCCATTCCAGATAATCGAATGGTCGGATATTAGCGATGTTCGGATAATCAATGTTCAACTGTACGCGTGTGTGTGTGTGTGTGTGTGTGTGCGTGCGTGCGTGCGTGCGTGTGTGTGTGCGCACGTGCACGTGTGTGTGGGCGTGTGGGTGTTGCTTGTGTGTAAGTGTCCATAAGTGTGCATAGGTGTGCATAGGTGTGCGTAAGTGTGTGCACTCGCGCATGTGTGCGCGCACATATGTGTGGGTGTATTTTGTGTATGGGTATGTGTATGGTGTGTGTGGTATGTGTGCGGGCGTGTGATGTATATGGATTCCCCATGCCATTATATGATTCTGTATTTTATGTACTCCCGTATTAGATTTGTACCACAGTTGTATGACCTCGCACCATAACGGCATGCTTGCTTGGCTTGGGGGAGATTTCCGTGCTTCATGTGCTTTGCCTCTTCAGTTGTGTTTTCCTTCTCTTCAGATTTGTTTATAATAATATCTTTAGTCTTCTTGTAGACATAATTATCATGGCGCAGTGAACTCTTCGTTCCTTGTAGAACTCACCTGTGTATTTAGTTTTTCGTGCTTTGTGTTTGTACCTCGTTGTGTTGCGCACGGGCCGACATTTTTGTAGCTTGTTCGTGATACCAGCATTTGCGTAGCTTCAGACCACGATGTCCAACTCAGACCCTGCTCCTGACATTGCTGCCCTGACCACGATGTTGGCGGCACAAATGAAGCCCTCGGAGGAGAGGGAACGTAAAATGGCCGACCTGTTCCAACTAACTATACAAAGACTGACACATCCAACACAACAAACCGTGCAGCCCAGCACAACCATAATTATCTTCATCACCAGCTCCAAAGCCTGTCTCTGTGGAGCAACCGAATTTACTGTCATCCTCGACATTAGCCGATTTCACGGCATGGCAGGAGATATGGCGAGACTATTATGAGTGTCAGCACCTGTCAGCCCAGAGCCGTGAGACCAGAGTGTCTTTGCTACGGCAAGCTCTAGACGAGGAGCTACGCAGATTCCTCCGCGAGGGTATTATCGTGACTCCACCAAATCCCGATGCGGACAACGTGATTGCTGCAGTCAAGGACTATTAGCGAAGGCAGCGCAACCCATTCCTGGACCGTATTGCATTCTACGATAGGTGTCAGTCGAAGGGTGAGTCCTTCGATTCTTTCTACACGTCGTTGAAAGAACTGCACACTAGCTGTGATTTTCCAGACGTTGCCTTGTGCACACAATGTTCTGCACATACGTGTAATACCTGTCGTACGAGCCTGACACGTGTGCGTGCTGACACCCTGCATGACAGGATTGTCATCGGAGTTAGTGACGACGCTACCCGGCACAAGTTATTGTCCGCCAAAGGATTTGACCCTTAGCGATGCGGTTACAATTTGCCGGGCGGAGGAGGCAGCTACCACGGCGAGCAGCAGTATCCCGTCCACCTGCCAGCTCAACGCTGTGCGACGGTCCGCGTGCCAACGCAATAAGCAACAATCCAGACAGGGACAGCCTGGCAGCAAGACGCCTGCACCTATATTGCCATCTGCGTCCGCTCCCTCATCAGGAAGCGACAAACACAAGAAGTGCCCCAATCGCGGCCGGAGCCCGCACACCAAGTCTAGTTGTCCTGCCAGCGGCAAGAAATGTAATGGCTGTGGCAAGACCGGTCACTTTCTCGCTATGTGTAGGTCGTCGTCACAATCGGACCGGAACGTGAAGCATGTGGGCCAACTTAAGTTGCAGCGTACTCGTCTTGCTGCGCAGCCTACTGTGCGTGCGTCCACCCGTTTAGCCACTGAGGATGAGGCAGTCACGCTACCCTGGGTCCCTGATACTGGCAGTGACGTCGATGCCATTGGCGAGCATCATCTCGAACTACTTGGCGGATGTATAGTATGGGTGTTTTACTACTTTATCACGCGTGGTGAGTATACACATAAATAGTACACTGTAGGTAATCATGGTAAGCTGCGCGCATACTCGCATGACCTTTGTCTTCTTCTCCTCCTTGTGAATGAACAACAACTACTCGAAGTAATTACTTACAATCCGTAACTGTGTGCCTCGAGAGTATGAGTGTTACACTGGTGGCAGCGGTGGGATTCGAACCCACGCCTCCGGAGAGACTGGAGAGAGTGGTACACATGTGTGTGAAAAATTGACAATGCTTCAGTATACTGTTCCATACCTGAGAACTTGGTTGAGCGTCTTTGTTCTTTTGGCCGTTCCAAGTCTGAAAGAAGGGCATGCCCTGGAATACAAGATGACACAGCACCAGGATTCCATTACATCATACTTGCAGTACAGTACATTACTACAAAAGCGGCTACTGAAGTCCGTACTCGTGAATAAAGCAATGCCGGGCGCCCAGTAACTTTGTACAGTGTAAATGTTGTGTAGTACATGTATCACATACTGAGATGGGCGAAGAGTACCGGCATCCGCACACAATGTGACTGAATGCATCACCGATCTATGCCAATGTGGAACTCGTGACCTGCCTACTAGGGCAACATGGATACGACACATGGGATTTGCCACTAGTGCTAGTGGCTGGGAAATGTATCACCTTGCCTCAACGCAAGGCATGCCATCTGCCGCTGCGATACAATCGGAGGTTGTCTTCAAATATAGCAGCCACTGTTACGGGGATGGCAAGAAGAACTGTACGGTATGTTGTTAGGAATGGGTTTGCTCCCACACTGTATGTTGTTGTATATTCTATTTAGAGTGGGAATCAAAACAGGCAAAACAGGCAAAACAGGCATAAGTCTAACAATAGTGGACCCAGAGTATACGATGACATACCGGACTTGTTGGTGCCGCCGTTGGTGATGCGAGTGCTCCTGTTGCGGAAGAGTTGAACATGGGCCTGCCAGCGTACTGGAAACTATCCAGCGGCGACGCAGGTTTCTGTAAGCCAAACCCTGGACTCTCCAAACCCTGGCGACCCTGAACATATACATAAAGCAACGTTGGATGTTGCACCCAGTGTACTAAAAGTGTGCATAAAGCACAGTTGCAAACATAGATTTGTAGTGGATTCTCGGTCACATGACCTGATTTACTTCGGTTTCAATGAAATTCTCATATTCTTGGCTTCATGAAATTCTCCGGTCTCGCGGTCACACTTATACGTATTACGACCGCTTTACCGTATCAGCATGCGCCGCTCACTTCCGCACCGTATTATCCTTATTTGCATGCGTACTACAGCTGCGTACAACTAGATTCCAGTGCGCCGCTGGCCTTCCCTTTTGGTATAGTTGTACCGTACACCGTATTCAGCAGGTCAGCAGAATTCGCCGCTCCTTGCCTTTTGCCTTGCTTCCATTATCTCTCTCTCGCTCTCTTGTTGTGAGCCGAACAGTAATGTTTCTGTCCTCTCTGTAATCTACAAAGTAACATTAGTTATGACACCAGATTCAATCTTTCGAAGTTAGTTCCAAATTCACGAATCAAGACTTTTGTGTAGAATTACGTAGCGCACTGCAACAGATTCAGTGCCTGCTCTGGGTTGGGGCCTTGGGGGTCAGCTGGGTACAGCCATACTAGGTCTGAGTTGAGTCATCCACCCAAACTCGGATCAGTTTTGGTGAATTAGCACCGATGCAAACCAAAGGAACCCAGTCTCAACCAGTGCAGGGTGTACCTGGGGTGTACCTGGCCGATATCTTCCTACAAGGTAGGTCACCACACCCTCTCGACTGGATTACTGACACTGTTGACCTGGCACTGGAGCGGACACGGGAACTATGACATCAGCACTTCAGTAATTCATCATTATTAGGGGTGATCAAGGCCTCAAGTATGGGGGGGGGGGGGGGGGGGGCTTACAACTGGTAGAATACAGGAATCTTTCCAGTACTGATAAATTGAAAATTGTTACATTACCTGTCTAGGTGCGGAGGGAGCCTGCGGAGTCTTGGGTGTACTGGGTGCAGTAAGTGGTGACGGTGGAGGTCTCATATCACCTGCAACACTGCCATCATGTGCTGCGCTGGCAGTCTCCTGATATGTTGCAGTAACAATACTACCACCGGGTGCAGTCATAGTGTTCCCAGCCGCATCTTGGGCATGCATGGGCTCTGGCTCATCTGCAGCATGAAACACACAGTTCTTGCCAATTAACCTAAATACTCAAAAGGCAGTGAAATACTCTCATCAATATGAGGTAGTTAGAACACGCTAAAAACATGCCTCTTTGAGATTCGACTTTTACAGTTGAAGCTCAAAAGAGGCATGTTTTTAGCGTTTAGCTAGAAAACTCCATCGTTAACTTAAGACATCCTAAGACATCCTGAAGAAGTGGGAAGGGGTATGTCGTGCAACGACTTACTACGTCATATTTCAGTCACAAATGTGGTATTTGTGCTGTCCACACTGCACTTTCTGCATTGTATTTGACGGCACTAGAGCTAGTGTAAACGTGCCGCGTACCAATATCATTTTGCCGTGCCGTACGGAATAACGACACTCATTGTGCGTACTGTATGTGGCGCCTTCGAGCTACTGTATCTTCCGGAGTGTAAGCAGCACTGGAGCATAAGTAGGAAGTTCAGTTCCGGTCGCTGAAAAGCGAAACATGCAGTCACAGCTCGCCTGTACAAAGTGAATTGGCGCATTGTGGCAGTAGTTTGGGATGCAGTTGGAGACCTGGCTACCTTCTCCCATGGCCTTTTTGGCCTTGTCGATGCTATTTTAGATAGCTGAGGTCATTACCTGTCCATTTGGCAAGTGTCGGATTTCGCTTGCCACGACTGTACTAGTTCGGTGCTGCACGGAAACTGTGTTGTGCGGTGTCCGACTGAGGAAGTAGAAGAGACTGCTTTCAGAATAGTATTAATTTTCATTGCTGTAGCTTGCTGCTATTGTTGCAGTAAGATGGATACCAAGGCCCTCTTTGTGAGGAACTTGAGTTGTCGCGAAAGCTGTGTTAGTTTTGCGGTGTGAGGAAGAAGAGGAAAACTGCTTTCAGAATATTAATAATTTCATTGCTGAGACAAGTACTTAGCTGTAGCTTGCTGCTATTGCTGCAGTATACTATGGAAGAAGACGAATTCCTGGGCCCTCTTTGTGAGGAAATTATGTTGTCGCGAAAGCTTCTTCGCGATTGCTTTGAGACGAAAAGCTACAGGCAACTTTCGGGCTGTGCCACTCGTGCTACTAATTCTTTGGCACTGGAGATCGACAGGGTGTCTTTTTCTGGTGTGGCTACCGCCAGCGTGCTGCTGTCCATTGCCATTTCTGGCCGCGAGATCGACCAGACAGACGACAAGGCGGTGACGAGGAGGCTGACTAAAATAGAGGAAAAGCGGGCCAAGCTGATGAAGGAAAAGGTAGCCAGTCAGCTCACCGACTTACTTGGTAACTTGTTTGATCTGCCCCTAAATATTGCACCAGGAACGACTACTAGTGCTAGTACTACTCAAACTAGTCAAACCGAACCCGCCAGGAGCCCAGTTTCTGAAAGAACGAAGATGGCACTAGTATCAGACACTGGTTCTGCATTCACTGATAGTCGACTAAAAGATTTGACAATGCAATTGGTTGAAGCCGAATCTCGTTTGAAGAAGTCCGCTGAAACAAACGCGAAGCTATTACCTGTGCTAAAAGAGACTAAACTTGAACTGAAAGCTGTCCGCATGAAAACCAGCAGGCGCGACACCAAAATATCTGATTTGAGCGAGCAGACGAGAGAAATTGAAAAAAATTGCTGTTGATTTTGAGGTCGCGTTAGAGGAGACGAAAGAAAGTGTCCAAGAAAGTGAACGGAGGCTAAGTAATGAACGCCATCAAAAGTATCGCCAGCAAGAAAAATTAGTCTTATAGAACAAGAGTTGGTCGCTGAAAAAGAGCAGCTAAATGTTGCGAAGAAAGTGTTAGTGAGAAAGAGGAAACTTTATTGGATAATGTCCGATACCTCGAGAATGAAAATTTGATTCTGAAAGAGGAACTAGCTGACCTGAAAGACATCATTGCCATTGGGCGGCCAGCACTTGAAACCAAAGATGGCACCACTTATGTGGATAATGTCCAGCAATGCTGCTATGAGCTGCTTACCAGGAATGTAGGCGTGGCAAATGTGGAGCCAGTTATTCGCGCTGTTTCGAAGATGCTTCCCACAGCAGTCGGTACATTACCTAGTGCTGGGATGCTTTCAAAAAAGTTCATCGAACTTAAAGCTGCGAGCAGTATCCAGATTGTGGAAGCAATTGATTCAGGCGATGGCTCCAGTACTCTCCATAGTGATGGAACTTCCAAGTTTGGGAAAAGTTTCAATCATACCAATTGCAACTGACTCTGCCACGTTCAGCGTTGGCCTTGATGATATGTATTGTGGCACGACACAGCATGCATTAGACAAGCTTAAAGAAGCTCTGGCAGATGATGAGCTGGTACAGTCAACTTCGCTAATAACAACTGCGGATATAACGACAATTCGCGAATAACGACAGCATTTCCATGCCCAGAGCAAAGTCCCTTCCAACTGTAATACATAATGAGACTTCGGGTATAACGACACTTCGCGAATAAGGACACTTTTTTGATGCCCCGCCGAATGTCGTTATAAGCGAAGTTGACTGTATGTGCCAAAGTTGGTAAAACTGAAGTTGCAGAAAAGATTGTTTCGAAAATCAAAAATACAATGAGTGATAGATGCGTAGTCCAGAAGAAATTTAACGAACTAGTACAGGATTTCGTGCATCGGTTCTTCCTGGGCAAATTGAATGCTGGGATGAACTCGATGATGATGTGAAAGACAGCATGCTAGAAATGAACAATTTCTACTCCGGACTCCACTTTATTGTGGGGCTTGCCGATCAGGCCAATGTATCATTGTCTGAGTGGGAGAAACTGCATATTTCTGAGTCTGATGGGTCCTCTTCCCTCCCTATGGTATACGAGTCTGAAAAGGAATGCAGAACAAATCGCCTTATACGGACAGCCTCAAAAGCCTTCAAGAAGCACGGTTCTGAAAAGGCTGGTGTTATGGTTGAGTTTCAAACCTTTCTAGAGCAGTCTGGTACCAAGGTCCCGCTAGAGGAGTACAGAGGCAATAGGAACTATGTACTGTTCTTTAATGGTGCATGTGTATATTTCCTCCATGATGCCATGTATGAGTTTCTGGTAAATGTACATGGGGAGACGAACTTGTTGCTAAAAGCCGTTAAAGCCGACCTGGAATTGCCAGTCCTCATTGCTGGTGCCCGCGCCCTCGGGATCATCTGCAAATTGGTCATTGCACCGCTGTGGCGTGCTCTGGAAGATAAGTCTCTGTCGATATCTTCAATGTCAGCTTTGTACTCGGAGTTGCAGAATAGTTTCCTGAAATGGGCTGGCGATGCTAGTCCTCTCCTGGATGGATCAGCTCGCCCCTTTTCAGGAGCCGTGGTCCAGATCGATGATACAGTCCTGGCAACCCTTCTCGAACCCAGTGATAGTGATGATCTAGTTCTGGAAGCTCTTTCGATTGCATCACACAGCTGTGAAATTCATGTGCTCAAGTGTCGGCAGTACTCACATGCATACATGCATTGCCCACACGCACCCGTTTGCACTGTACATGTACAGTTGAACATCGATTATCCGCACATCGACTATCCGACCATTCGATTATCCGTAACAGTTTTTTTGGGCGCGCGTGCCATTGAGTACGCACTGTGTATGTAGTGAGCCATTCAAAAAATACGAAAATTTTGAAAAGTAAAAAGTAAAAAGGTCGTGCGGCTAGTAATAACCACTGAAAGTGTGTGAGTGACAGTTTTTTCTTATCCAGAACATTTGCCTTATCTGAACACCGCCTGACAGTTGTCTGCCCAGAGGTGGTCGGATAATCGATGTTCAACTGTACATGATAACATATAATGGACACTGTCAACACTCTGCATTTCATTTCCTTTTGCAGGTTCTCTGCTCATCCTTTGCAGCTTACATGGAACGACTGCTTCCAGAGCACCTACACGGGGGGAAATTCCACTCAGCAAGTGAGAAGCTGGTAGCAGAGACGCGATCAGTTGCGAAAACAAACGCAGTGAGTGAACGGGATTTCAATGAAATAAAGTTGATTTCGTGAATAAGAACCTCAGGCATAACGACACTATCTTCTGACCTAGTAGCCACTCAATTGACACTGCATCCTCGCAAATAATGACAATGAGGACAACTCACGAATAACAACACAGATTCATGCCCAGCCGAGGGTCGCTATTTACAAGGTTGACTGTATAGACTAAATGCTCACCTGTTGCGTTGACATGAGATGATTCAGGCCCTGCATGGACTGCTGTTGTAACCAGTGAGCTGGGAGGTGCAGACAGTGGCATACTTCCACTGGTACATGGGGGCATTGTGCTATGCACGGGAGGGGCGACGCACATTGCCGTGTCTACTGGTGGCATCCTCACAGTCGACTGCACTTGGCTGGGACGTGTTGCTGGTGCTTGAAGAGTCTTCGGCGGGGGTGCCGTCGACTGAGGCATGGCGTAAGGGCGTGGTGCAGGTGTCGACTGAGGCATAACATATGGACGTGGTTGAGTAGGAATAGGAGCGGGAGGCATCGCAAACGTCGCTTGATTGAGATTAGACGCTGGCTGCTCCTGTCTTGTGTTCTCCTCCACATCCAACTTCTCCATCTCGGCTACCTGCGAAGAGAAGAGGAGTATGGTTTGAAAAAAAAACAAAAAAACAAAACAAAACAAAAACAATTAGTCTGATTGGCATGGACACCCAGACTCCTCTGATCTGGACACATTTATAACCGTATGAACCCTATGGATCAGGTGCTATGCTGTACATGCACAAGTGTACTCTATGGGTTGCTCCTGTATTGCACTGGCATAATCATACGTAACATTGCAGACAATCTGCATGCACACCGTACTATGTTTCTTTCTTGGTAGCTCACGTAGCAAAGATATATGCTAGGCTCTACAGGAACACAGGTACCCAAAAGAAGGGAGTACTACAACTTGTTTTACGTGTACTACTCCTGCTTTTTAACATGCATGTATGTGTTAGTGACGTCTGAGTTATGGACAGTTCCCAGTTGCATATCGGAGTTTCCAGTGACATATAACTGCATCCAGCCATCACGAATTACGTGGTTTCATGCTTGACCAAAGCATTTTTAAAGGGGCACTCCGGGAATATTTTCGGTAGTGTGTTCTCTTCATGGGGGCTTCGTATGGCCCCCAAGGAATGGGGAATCGCGAAAACTAGACCCAAAAAGTCGATATATGAAGCCAGGGAGGGCCAAGTTTGTCTCCTCCGCGGGGGCCTTGATGACGTCACGTGTGATTAGGATTCAAATTCTCTGCATTTGAAGGTATTAGTTGTTTGAATTTTCTGGTGATGAAGAACGATGTTTGGTCGACAGTCCCAAGCTTCACAACTGCAGCCATACTCTAAGGACCCTGAAGCGCCTCCTGAAGTACCCCTGGTAGAAGCGCAGCATGATGAGGGCCAGGAGATTGGAGCAGACGACTTCACTGGTCGAGAAGGAAACAACGTTTGGTGTTCCTGCCAAAAATGTGGGGTGATGCAGGGGGCAGTCGATTGCCTTTGCTGTCGAGAGAGCACTGGAGCTGTAAGCATTGGCAGCGCCTTGACATGCGTTACACATCACCCCGACTTCCCGCCAGCTTGTCTAAACCAAACTGTTTTGACAATATGCCTCACGGCGTATAGAGAATTTCGGGATCCTCGTACTGACATCCATGCAAACAGGTAAGCACTTCGTCCATCGTCACTCTTGCGTGTGGAATGTGACTTTGTTACGGACATGACTATAATCAGTCTTACATGTCACGACATTTGCTCCTGTCTACCTATGGCCGGCTGTGTGTGCAACAACATTCATGACAAATTTCAATTTTCTTTTTCAATTGTCGATTTGTATTTTTGCATGTAGGTCACTACGTCTAGCAGCATACAGACAGTACACTTGTTGGGTTCATGGCTACCTAGGACGTGGCGACAGGCGTGTGATTCCATCGTGCGTAGTAACAGCCATTAGAGAACAACGCTTATCACTACGTGCGATTGTTTAGGCTAATATGCAAGAAAAACACCTCGACTCAGTCGTGACATGTATGCATGTAACTCATACACAAGACTTTATAAATAAATAATACTTCGAAGTAATATATTTTACATTTTACAACCGATCTCTACCTGTGCAGGGATGTTGGCCAGACAGCAGCTAGCAGCATTGAACCACAATAATAACGTTGGCAGAATGCAGGCGAGAAAGGCAGACGAAACAGAGCGTTGGAAGTTGGTCTTCCCTAAGGCGAAGAAGGCTTGGGTCGCACGGAAGATATACTCAAAGAAATCAATTTCTTACATGTACCGACTCATGCAGAATGGGATGGAGACCAAGGCTGCAGTTCTATCAGGGAAAACCCCTGAGTGCATTGCCAACTATCCCGATGTCCCAAAGGACATTCCTGCCAACATCGCTACTGTGCCACGTCCTCCAAAGGAAGACGTGATCGCCCAGCACATGTCACGCCTGCAGTGACTGCTCTTCAGCATGTCCGCTTGCTCTTCTCTCTCTTGCTGTGAGCTGTGCAGGACTTGTGTGTGTGTGTGTGTGTGTGTGTGTGTGTGTGTGTGTGTGTGTGTGTCCCCAGACCGGTCAGCTTGGCGAGAGCAGGTTCTGGTTTTTCAGCCTCCTCGGGCAGTAGAGAAATCCGTACTCTGCTCATCTTGCAACCGGGCTTTCTCTCGTCCTCAAGACAAGGCACGGCACAAGTGTTTGGCTGAGCGCCAACTTCCCGTCCACCAACAGCGTGGTTCAGCACAGTGCGTCAGTTGCTGCCGATGGTTCCGTAGTAAGGGTGGGCTTGCAGTTCATCGCTGCCAGCCTGCACTCCCTGAACATGCAGATACGGCATTGACGGCGTCTCTCGCTAGTTGCTGCTTCCAGCATTGTCAACGCTGCAATCGCTGCTTCAACTTCAAGTCCCGGGCTGGTTTTAACCGCCATAACTGCAACCGTGGAAAACGTCTTGCTGCAGCCGATAGGGAATCACTGCCGCTGATCTGCATGCATTGTCCGAAACGTTTCCGACGACAGCAAGATTTGACGAGGCACCAGAAGTCCTGCCAATGGCGGTGCACTCCAAACTCTGGCCCCCTCCGGGGGTGACATTGCCCAATGGGCAGTCATGCTATAGTAGTAGTAGTAGTAGTAGTGTGTGTGTGTGTGTGTGTGTGTGTGTGTGTGTGTGTGTGTGTGTGTGTGTGTGTACATCATTGTTTGCCCCTGGAACCATCGGAAGCGTCCGCGCCGGCATCACCTATTCCGCTCAACGTCCCAGCTTCTCTCTTGTGTGTGACATGCAATCGGCAGTTCAAGTCAGTGCCTGGTTTCAGACGTCACAAGTGCGACCGTGGCCATCGAGCAACCAAGTCTGATAGAGCGTCGTATGGTGTTCGCTGTTCTCGCTGCAGCCGTCAGTTCCGTCGACAGAGTGACCTGAGTCGTCATCTCCGTTTCTGCTCCTGACAATGACTCTGGCTCCTTTCGGAGTGGTGTGGCCCTTGTGGCAACCAAGCTACAGTAGTAGTAGTAGTAGTAGTAGTGTGTGTGTGTGTGTGTGTGTGTGTGTGTGTGTGTGTGTGTGTGTGTGTGTGTGTGTGTGTGTGTGTGTGTGTGTGTGTGTGTGTGTGTGTGTGTGTGTGTGTGTGCTGTATGCACTTGTGTGTGCAAGAGTGTGTATCTTACACACCGTTCACTTCTCAAACAACAATAGGCCAATAATTCCCCATATAAAAGTCTAACACTCGATCACTTTCATGTCTCTCTCTTGGACACTATATTATTATAAGTACATTGTATATTCTGCAGTCAGCACGTCAAATTCAAAATACATGGTACAATTATGTGTGTATGTGTGTTCGCGTACGCGCGAATGAGAGAGAGGGACAGTCAGACAGACAGATATTGCCTGTAAGCGCACTGTCAACCAGGCCAAAACGGCTCTTCTTCATCGTCTCTGGCATCTTCAAATCCTTTGTACTGCTGTGATGGATCTGGGAAAGCTTCTCTAATGGCTGTTACTACGCACGATGGAATCACACGCCTGTCGCCACGTCCTAGGTAGCCATGAACCCAACAAGTGTACTGTCTGTATGCTGCTAGACGTAGTGACCTACATGCAAAAATACAAATCGACAATTGAAAAAGAAAATTGAAATTTGTCATGAATGTTGTTGCACACACAGCCGGCCATAGGTAGACAGGAGCAAATGTCGTGACATGCAAGACTGATTATAGTCATGTCCGTAACAAAGTCACATTCCACACGCAAGAGTGACGATGGACGAAGTGCTTACCTGTTTGCATGGATGTCAGTACGAGGATCCCGAAATTCTCTATACGCCGTGAGGCATATTGTCAAAACAGTTTGGTTTAGACAAGCTGGCGGGAAGTCGGGGTGATGTGTAACGCATGTCAAAGCGCTGCCAATGCTTACAGCTCCAGTGCTCTCTCGACAGCAAAGGCAATCGACTGCCCTCTGCATCACCCCACATTTTTGGCAGGAACAGTAAGCGTTGTTTCCTTCTCGACCAGTGAAGTCGTCTGCTCCAATCTCCTGGCCCTCATCATGCTGCGCTTCTACCAGAGGTACCGCAGCAGGCTCAGGAGATCCTTCAGGTTCCTTGGAGTATGGCTGCAGCTGTGAAGTTCGGGACTGTCGACCAAACATCGTTCTTCATCACTAGAAAATTCAAACAACTAATACCTTCAAATGCAGAGAATTTGAATCCTAATCACACGTGACGTCATCAAGGCCATCAGCGAGGAGACAAACTTGGCCCTCCCTGGCTTCATATATCGACTTTTTGGGTCTAGTTTTCGCGATTCCCCATTCCTTGGGGGCCATATAAGGCCCCCATGAAGAGAACACACTACCGAAAATATTCCCGGAGTGCCCCTTTAAGTTGGAACAACAAATATTCGGAACTTCATAAGGCACCGATGAAAACAAGTGTACGCTTCTCGTTGGCTGAGTATTCGAAAGAAACGAGAAGCAATGTTCTCTCGAACTTCGAATATTTGCGATGCTTGTTTTATGTTTCCCGGTATTATTTTTTGCTGCGGCACACAGTGCAGGTTGACGTCACTGTAGTGATGTAATCATTGTTGAGCAAGCGCTGTGAAAGATTGTCCTTCTTTTTGTCTCGCTTGTCAAGGATGCAATCTGTTTTGTTGCACATGTGAACATTTTTCTTTTTTGGTTATTTTGCAATCATGCCGAGAGGTCGTCGTGCTGAAGCTGCCCGGGAGACAGCTGAAACCTCCTCGCAGGACGAGGTAGAGTTGAGGATGCGTCTCCTGAAACGCCAAGTTATTCGGCTGGAGGAGAGGAAGCGCCGCCGGTCGGCCTCCTCTTCCTCATCGTCCAGCTCGTCCTCGGAGTCGTCTCCGGAGAGGAGGTCCAAGAAGAAGCGGAAGAGTAAGAAGAGGAGCAAGTCAGTGCCTAATACGATGCCTGGTATGAAGCGGCTGAGTTACCAGCACCAGTTTGAATGCCTGTCTCAGATATCTGGCCACCAAAGGCGACGAAGGAGCTGAAGGGCACGAGCGAGGCCTGCAGAAGAGGCTGGACTGGCTGGCAGTGGCGGACCGCCATGGCCATGACACCGCCACAGCGTTCACAGAAGGTGACGGCATGGCTGGCCTCCTGGCCAGTGCAGACAAACGCAAATGTCTCCGCCTGGCAATCGAAGCCACGAAGCAGGGAAGGATGGCTCGAAGCCAAAGAAGCCCCGACAGCAGCCCTTTCGGGCCAGCACTCCCGCACCAGCCGGCAACCGGAGTGCCGCAACAGCCCGGCCTGCCCCAGCGCAACGGTTGCCAGCCGATCCAGCCAGGCCCACAACCCAGCAGTCCATGGCTGTGTGCCATCACTGTGGAGAGACGGGCCACTACGTCCGGTATTTCCCGAAGCTCAGAAAAAGCTAAGTTCGCTTGTGTTGATGATGTTGTTAATGGTGGTGACGATGATGACAATGATGTTGATGATGACCGGTGTTTGGAAGAAACAATGTGTTCAGAGTACACGGCTGCCCAGCTTGTGTGAGAGGAAGATATGGGAGGGGAGGGGCTGAATGATGTAATAGTGGGTGGTCTAGCACAACACGTATCATTTTGGGAACGAATTGGTGCATCAGGAATGATTTCTTCTTTTTGTCTTGCAATGTGGCTGTCCGTAGCCGACTCTGCACTGTGGTTTTGATGTTGCAAATGTGAGGTGTGAGAGAGAACACTCATTGGCCTTTTTATGCTCACACGAGAGGAAGAGGCAATTTTTTCCCTACCCGTTTATTTTTCATCTTGCTTTAGCTGTAGTTCGCATGCGCTGATCCCAAACCGCGGGAATCTCCAAGTTTCAACTACCTCTGAAGCTCGGAGAGCTTTGGAGAGCCTTCTACAATTTGGAGAGGATATAAGAACAGCTCTCCGACTTTTCAGAGAGTCCCACTTTTCTGAGAGGATTTAAGAACAGGAAGAGTAGATCTACTAGTGCTACTAATGACTTTTGCCGCCCTTCCCTGCATGAAGCTCATGGTTGCGGCAGAGCTCTTTTTTCATTTGATTGGATTAGGAACAGTTAGAAGAAGTTTTTGTCAGTAAAATATCGAAGGAAACCTTTGTGTCTGAGGCCGGAGAGTAGCAGCACCGATCACAGGTAGGCGGGAAAAATGGAGTTGTGTGTAGCTTATAGTGTAACCCATCATTCTATCAGTTCAGATGTGGACGCCTGCATCAAGAATGCACGAGCATACTGTCACATTACCGACCAGCACTTAGACTTACAGTCATTGCTTTCTTCTGCTCCAGTGTAATGCAGTCAGCTTGGACCTGAGCAGTGCTTCCCTTAAGTCTTCTCATCACAGTGAAAAGAACTTGTTTCTCAGCGTGGTTTTTGGCCCTAAGCACACAGACAGAACACAGAACAAAGCGATGGGTACTGATACGCAGGATAAGTAAATTTGCCAGATCTAGGTAGTTTGAGGACAGATGGCATTTCTGTGCAGAAAATCTCTCCAAACATGCTCATTGACACATTCAAATTGATAGTCGAATACACATGTATGTCTTTCACGGAGGATAGAACTCCAAAAACATATACAAAACTCCACCAGTCATTGCAACATGTGGAACGCAGACTCACATTTCAATGACATATGGCCTGTAGTCCAGGTTCTTGGCTTCCTCTCGCAATCTAACCATTTCTGAAGCAGCAGCAGCACAACCATAGCAAGCAATATGTTCATTGAAATGTATATAAAGCGCTGACGAGCTCTACGCTGCTGCATTCTCAACAAAAAAGTCAGTACATGGTTCAGCTTCAAGTTGAGTTTCTCACAAAACGATTCTCAGGCAGTAATTCCAACAATAACAGCAAACAGGGGAAATTATCTCTCATAATGTATTGCAAGGATGATCTCAGTTAATAGGCGATTTAGACTACGGCCAACTGTGACCAGGTTTCTACGACGTATTTGATCAGGGATTGTGCATAACATTTTGAAACACGACTGCATCACCATGGAAATTCAAGTTCACACGTGATTTTGGCGGCAGTCTGAATCGCCTATAAGCCCTAGCTATGGTGGCATGGGAAACAATCAACAGTAAGTAGTTGATGCTGGTACAATGTTGCGCTGATTAGCTGCACAGCTGCATCCTCACTAGAAAGGGTGCATCCGAACAGACGTGTTTTCATGATATTCGGTCAATTTAAGTTAACACCAACTCCGTCTCTATAGCATTTGTTTTGAACCATCTGCTAACTTAGTTCTTTGCCACGGTGTTGCCAAGGCTGATCTTTGCAGAGTTCCTTTCTTGGAGAAAATACCAAGAAAAAGCGATGCACATTTACATTATAATAACTGGCCAAAAGTCTCTCTGCTCTTGGCCAACTATCAACATGTTTTGATCGGTGGAAAGACACACTTGTTAGAACAACTCAAACTCACCGTTTTTGTTATTCACCGTTATTGTCAGGCTAGATACGGCATCTTGAAATTGCTTGACTTCACCGTCTACTTCATGCACTGCACAGCGAGAAGAGAAGAGCCCTGACTTCACTTCTAGCAAGGTTATCCGTGAAAGGACCTGGGAAATGTTTCTACGAACTCTTCCTACAGGTCAGCACGATTTGGATATGCCAGTGAATCTGGTCATCAAGACAAAACCTGAAAGAGTGCGCAAAAGCAATGCCAGCACACGGCAACAATTGAAACGGAAGAGGGCACAAAACTCAGAAAGGAACCATGCCCACAGCGCATTCCGACTTTGTGCTCCGGCAACTTCTCCCGGGTGTTCCACCAGTAAGACAATGAGGGTTACATGTAGTACGTCACTGGATAGACCCGGGTGCTCAAATTGGAGATAGGGTACCTTAAGGGGAATGGCCTCAACCTGTACCTAAACTTGACCCGATTTCATCTAGTTTTCACAAATACGATCAACATACGGCCCTCTAGCTGTATGCCAAATTTCAGGGCTGCCCGGAAAGCGATATTTGAAATACCGTATTTCCCAAATATAAGTCGACCTTTTACCACCAAAAAAACTTTTAAGCTAACTGCCATTAAACCGGGAGATTGAGGTCCCAAGTATGGGGCTTCGACTTATAACTGGGGTCGACTTATAAACGGAAAATACAGTACTCGGGACCCACTTTTTGCCGTGTCCTTAATTCGGAGGAAATGGGTCACCTCGTGACGAAAAGGCCACCATGAGGCCTGGCGAAATAGACTAGACGCACCCGAAAAATAATTTCCAGGCAGACAATTACACAAACCAAATGTAAAAACCCCAAATGTAAAGTAATGTACTTGGTCCGCGTCAGCAATATTGTCGCTTATCTTTCGACAATTTGAACTTAGACTTTGGACATCAACGCGTGCACTTGAGACGATAAAACTTGGTATGATGGAAGGTAAGGTACAGAATGACATCTGGCCATGAGGAATTCATTGTCCCTGGAAGGTTTCATACTTTTTTGGTCCTTCTTGTCGCTGCTCTCAGTGCTGGTGACAAATATATTTTTCTTGGGATCGACACTCTCCCTTTCGCAAGCTCATCTCTCTTCCTCTCCGCTGCCTGGCTATTTTCGAAAGGGAAGTCGACCGTAACGGTCCCCTTCTCTATAGGACTTCGTGTAGGCAGCACGACTGCCTGTGTGGTTCAAATCAGTCGCCGTTCTTTGCAAGATCTATTTTGAACGACGACGATGGCTACAGTACTTGCAAATCTCCACGATGCGCTGGATACTCCGCGCGTTGAGCAGGAGGTGAGGGAACTGCTATCTCAGCTTGGCGAGCGATCCCTGAGGTAAGCGATCTCGGTGGTTTTGCCAAATGGAACTGATTTCGAGTAGCCGATTACTTTCTTGTGTGTGGCGCTGCTCTTGCCTGCGCAGTGTGAGAGACAAGACAATCTATTTTGATGCGGCGCTGTATCAATCAGAATCACCCACCCGTCGCTCTCGAAATCCACTCGAAATCTAGCTAGACCTTTCAGGTACTAGTAAACTAACTTACTAACCAAAATTGCGATGAAATGGGCTGCCAAGTGAGCATTGGCGACATAAGAACAAAGCTGAAAGATAAGCGACAATATTGCTGACGCGGACCAAGTAAAACGTCCATGGCTGCTACACCCAAACATGAGTATTTGCCATCCAGATTTAGGTTCCACCGTGTCTCGTTTTCTGGCAGGAAAGCTGTAGCAAGACGCAGCAAGAAAATGAGACGATCAGACACCACCACACTGGCGCCCATGTCTCTATCAGAATCGCCGAAGATCCCGGAGAAACGTCTTCGCTGCACCATGATTGAATACAAAAAGCGCTCCATGCCACAAAATACGCTCAGATCGCTTGTGTTGAAGATGGAAGAACGGATAAAAGCCGTCCAAGGGGGAGCTTCCCTCCGTGTAGCCAGTGACGAGCACAATGTAAAGAGGTCAACCCTCTACAGCCGCATAACTGGCAAAACCAACATCAGAGGTCGCCCATCAATCATACCCAGGGAAAAGGAGAAGCGCATGTCCGACTACGCTAAGTCAATGGCTGATATGGGATTCGGCTTGAGTAGAGGTAAGCCAAGCAGCTGTTCATGTTCGAGCAAACAATATAATTTAATATCGTTTTTCTCTCTTGTATATTTGTCGCATCATCCATACAAGCCTTAGCTGGTGATCTAGTAAGACGCGAGACAGGCCAGCAATGCCCCAGTCTAGGGAAAAGGCTGGTGGCGAGGTTTCAAGCGCTGAAACTCGGAGATTTGTATCAGACGGCCCCGTTCGCTGGAAGAGGCACGGGCAAGGAACGATACTGCAGACACACTGAAGCAGTTTTACGACGTCCTGGGGAAGGCAATTAGTACACACAAGCCGCAGCCGAACCAGATTTGGAACTGCGATGAGAAGGGCTTCAACCCGGATCCCCTCCCTCGTAGTGTGGTGGCCAGTCGAAGCAGTCGGGCAACGCACCAGCAACACCGAAAATCGCACGACCACGTTTCAGCAAATATATGTGTAAATGCAGCCAGCAACAGCATGCCACCGCAGATAATCTATAATCGAAAGCAGTTGTCACCTGTACTTGTTGCCAATGGGCCACCAGGTGCTGTGTACAGCCCGAGCAGCAGCGGGTCAATGGATGGTGACCTTTTCCAGGACTGGTTCATCAAAGTCTGTTTGGCCTATACCAGCCGGAACATGCCACAGCTCCTGATCATGGACAATCATGCCAGCCATTTGAAGGTAGCAACGTTGGACATGCCAGGAACAACAACGTGATCTTCCTGGCCCTGCCATCCAAACGACACGTGTATTGCAACCACTCGACACAGCCGTGTTCAGCAGTCTTGGCCACTACTATCAGTCGGTGTCAGCTGCAGCCCGTCTGGTAAAGCCTGACCACTAGTTGACCATTGCAGATTTATCCAAGATATTCACTAAGGCATACGTCAAGGCAGTCACTCCGACGAATATTCTGGCCAGCAATAAACAAACTGGAATTAGTCCGCTGGACCGCCTCGCTATTCCGCCTACTGCCCTTCTGCCGTCCACTGCCCATGGGGCCAAAGCCCAGCCTCAACCCAATTTTCAGTCAAGTACTACCCCTGAAGACAGTGATGATGATCTGGCATCACAAGAGCATGCCATTGCCGTAGCGATTCCTGGACGCAGTGTCCATCCCTTGGCACAATCGGTGGCATCGGCTGGAATCATCAGCGAGAGCACTGTGTAACTGTTCCTATGTTGTGAGCCGCATTCGTCTGCCGTCTGCTGATTCAAATTTTGAAATTGATGCGAACTACTTGAGAGTGTTATTTCCCTGAACACAGCGGACTGAAGAATAGGAGCAATTCAGTTCCAACAGGCTCTTATAATTATATGTACATAACTTCAATAGCTCTTTTGACCATCAGCAGGAGGAGCTGATTGCCGTTTCCGATTCGAGCACCTAATTGTCGAATATTCGTACGAAATACAATTTACTGCTTGCAGTAGCTCATATTGTAGCACACCTAGGTTCTGAATTCCTGCCGGATGGGCCAAGCCAGACTCTCTTCCCCGTTCCAACGCCTCTCCAAAGTATATTTCTGACAATGTTGAGACTTACAGATGAGAAATTTCAAACTATCAAATCGTCGCCGATTCGTGCACCTAGGTCTACTACGCGATGCACAGGCATACAGTCCTCACGGACTATATATGACTCTAAACCTCCCTATTCCTAGCCAAAAGCAATACAGTAAAACCTCCCCTAATCCATACTCCCCAGATCCGGGCATTCCTGTCCACAGGGCACATTTCTGATCCATCTTGAATCACAAAAGATAATCATAGAACAGGGTTCTAGCCAAATGGGGGGTAGGGGGGCGCAGCGCAGTGTTTTTTTCACGCCATTCAACGAAAATACAGTCGATAGTCACTACTAGAGGGTTCATAAAGGCACATTTGTGAGGGGTGAAGTCAGGGTTCACCCTGTATGTTGCATTTTGCATGGCAAGACAATTTTGGACAATGGAAAAAATGGGTCATGGGGTGACTTTTTCCCATGCCCGCCCCCCCCCCCCCCCTACTATATTGACCTGGCTAGAACCCTGATAGAATGTATGTTCTGAGTGGTGCAGATGTCCTAGTAGTGCCCGGTCCCAATGAGCCTGGATAAGAGGAGTTCTACTGTACTGCAGTAAGAATGGGTGCGTTGTGCATAATTTACCCTTGTTCACATCATCATTAGCAGATATTTGGATGGATGACAGCTGCTTCGCCAGTGCTCGCTCAGAGTAGACTCTCTCGTACTGTTCCCATAGCTGCTGATAGTGAATGATCTTGGACTCCTTCTCTTGCCTACAGTACACAGTACACACACATACATACACACACGGACACACACGCACGCACACATACACGCACACCCACGCACACATACACATGCATATACACATACATACGCACGCACGCACATGCACACACACACACACACACACACACACACACACACACACACACACATGAACATTGTCTACATGTACATGTATGCACATGGCATTGCAAAGGACCCCTCCGGCAAGATGAGAGAGGGTGCTGGACTGTTACGTCACTACATATCAGTAGCAACAAAAGTACATATATTATGACTCCTAGTCTACTAGTACCGTTAAGTACCGTTGGTCCGCCCCCCATGCCATATCGCTTCCCAGCTGGGTTTTCGGCAGGGAGCGGGAACTACATCAAGGCTGTCAAGTGCAGCACGATGTACAACAACGCGGAAGGAAAGACTTGGTGTGCTAGATTGTGCACATTTTCATCCTGCACTGGCACGTATTGTGAACAGCACACAGTGCCTGCGTCGGTTTTACACCCTACTTCATTGTATAGGCCGAAGTCGCTTCACAGGCAGAAATCCGACAGCCTTCAAATACATGCCCCACTCTCTGCCTGGCCTAAAAACACAAGCATACCTTTTTCTTTCACGTGTCTCCTTCGCATCTTGCATCTTCCGCTGCATTGCAGCAATGTGCTCGTCGAGAAGAACAGCCGTTCTCTTGGAACTAGTAACAACAACAACAACAACAACAACAACAACAACAACAACAACAACAACAACAACAACAACAACAACAACAACAACAACAACAACAACAACAACAACAACAACAACAACAACAACAACCTCTCTTATTGGCCAATGGATATGGTGAGAATAAAGATTTGATCCTTCAGTTCTTGCATGCCACCAGAGAGGGCAACTGGAAGTTCCACCTTGCCTGCATCCGCAAGATGCTCCCCTGGATGTTTGCTCAACGGCAGAGTTATGCTCGCTACCTGATATACTACTATGCGGACATGCTGGAACTGCCAGTGAGCCATCCAGACATGTACAATGGATTTAGCGAGGGAGAATTTGTTGTGCGGCGGTCACACAAACCATTTGCAGCTTTTCCCGTTGATCAAACGATTGAGCAAACGTTCAACAAGCATTCCAAGTCAAAGGGAGACTTGACTTGGAATGCTTGTTGAACGTTTTATTGTGGGTCTGAGCTGTCAACAAAGCGCAACCCACAAGTGGGCTCTCACAGCCCATGACCGTGCTGCTGCTGTGGATGCTTGCTCATCTTTGGCAGGCCTGACTGAAGATGATGGGGAGACAGGCCACAAAGAGCAACAGCCGAGACGCATGCAAGTTGACCATGAAGATTCAGACAGTTCAAGATTGGACAGATCCATGTGACGCCAGATTGGACTCTCTTGCATCTATCAGCACCAGTGCTATAGCTCCCACAGAAGTGCAGACTCCCCTACTCAATGCACACAGCGATGGTGAAGCTGCCTACAACCAGTTCCAAGCAGAACGGATATCGACATCGGGTAAGAGCTTCTTCGCCACCCTACCAAAGCTTCAAATCTTTTACTTCACAGGTGTAGCATTTTAGTCATTACGTATGATTTATACAGTGGCAGTACCAGGCGTGGGCCATCCCCTGGATTATCAAAATGGGTGCCTTATCATTTTTTCTGTTGTTTTTACGCTATCTGTATCATGTACATACAAACTATTCCCACCAAAGCTTCAAACCAAGACATTCTCGTCACTGATCAAGATGAAGAAGAAAGCCGTGCATCTCCAAGGTCGGGAGATTATGATCAGAGCAGACAGAGCCTTCTTCTCCCGTGTCATAATCTTGGCTCAATCAAGGGATATGGACATGAGGAGAATATTTGACTATTCGCTTGGACCTCTTCCATGGCCTAGCAACACCCGACGGTCGCCTAATCAAGACAAACAAGGCATTTCTTCTACAAGGTCTTCAGAACTCCAGCCCATTGTGTGTTGTCGATGCCATTCCTATGGATGCAGTTTGGCTGCTGGATGGCATGGCTCTTCTTCAGTCCCTAACAACCATGGGTGATTGCACCTTCGCGGATGTAGCACTGAAAGTGCTGAAGTGCATCTTAACGCCTCAACGTTGTCAAGGCGGACGTGTTGACTTCGCCACTGATACCTACCGATCACAGTCTATCAAGAACATTGAGAGGGAACAGCGTGGCAGCCACGATGAAGTCCGATGTGAGGTAAAGTCGCACAACCAAATTATGGATTGGCATAGCAATTGTGTTACCCAATGTGTTAAAAGAAAAGTAGTGATTGTCTTTTATAATAATCTATGATTTCACCAATGGTATGGAGTGGACATTTGCATGCACATGTTCATACTATCATGATAAATGAAAGAACTCGGTGTATGCGTGTGTGTACATGCGTGTGTGTGTGTGTGTGTGTGTGTGTGTGTGTGTGTGTGTGTGTGTGTGCGTGCATGTGTGTGCGTGTGTGTGTGTGTGTGTGCATGTTTCTCAGGTATCCAGCTCTGCTCAGAAATGTCCAAAGTCCTGGTCTAATTTCTTGCGAATTGGCAGTAATAAATCTTCTCTTGTGACATTCCTCACTGACGAATGGAGCAATGAGAAGTATGCACCTCCTTTCACCCGCTGTACACTATATCTATTGACTGAGACCGGCTGCTGGAAGTTCGCGTCTGCTGATGGTACATTGGTTGTATGACAGGCCGTTGATACGTTGAAGTCAACTCAGGAAGAAGCAGACACCTGGCTATTCCTCCACGCCGCCCACGCTATGGCAAGTGGAGCATCCATAGCTGTCATTCAGTCACCGGATACGGATGTGTCCGTGATCGGTGAGTCACTCACCAGTGCTATTGGTGGTCGGCGGGTCTTGTTTCGGACAGGTACCCTGCACCAAACATGCTGCATCGACTTGACGGCCATAGCCATCAGCTTGGGCGTGCGTGCGGATTCCATGATTGACATACATGCCCTGACAGGATGCGACAGTGTGAGTGCCTTCTCAGGCCGTGGGAAACAAATCTGCGCTAGCCTTGGTCCAGAATGGGAGTCATCAGGCCAAGCTGTAGCCGCTCGTGGCCAGTCGTTTTCGCTGTCCTCCAGTGCCATAGCTGAACTAGAAGGGTTTATCTGCTGGCTGTATGGCAAGCCTCAACTAACATCTGTGAATGAGGCACGGTATCAGCTCTTCTGTACAACGACGAGTGGATCATCGATGAGTCTTCCGCCGTGCCAAGACTCCCTAAAGCTGCATACAGCCAGAGCCAACTTCCAGGCGGCTATTTGGAGGCGCACGCTGGAAGCCCAGCCCGATATCCCGGACCCCACTGACCATGGATGGTGTGCTAACGGTGACAACCTCTCCATCCGCTGGTCATCGCAGCTTCCAGCCCTAGAGTCTCTGCTGGAGCTTGTCTCTTGCAGCTGCAGTCGATCCCACTGTGAAGGACGGCTCTTGTGAGAGAAGTGGCCTGCCCTGTACCGACATCTGCAAGTGCAAAGATTGCCAGAATCAGTCCTCCACAACCCCGGCGATGATGGAGACGATTCTGACTCGGACAGTGATGGCGAATAAGGTACTCAGTCATGTACATGTAGACCTTTCTGTTGTTTTGCACACTTACTTGTGCATGCATGACATGCACATCCATACACGTATACTGTACAAGTACAAGGTTTCGTTTGGAATTAACTTTCGCTATGTTCGTTAGGGGCACGAAAAAACTAAAGTTTTTCTGAACGTTCGGGGTGACAGACCTCGACCAAAAACGAAATTTAGTACGTAACGAAACCTGCTGGTGGAGTGATCTAACGAAAGATTTCGTGAACGAAAATTTGCACTTATACAGTAGGTAGAAAATCATACCACTCACTAGTCTAAGTTAGCCCTTGGCAGATAATGCCAGAAGAAAAATTGGCAGAATTTGGTATCTGGTATGCCAAGGTTTCTCTAGGTTTTCCAGGACATTCATTGTTGGTGAAGCATACTGAACTGTTCTTGTTTTGTATTTCTGTGCCAATGTCCAGCTATGCTCCTGGTGACCACACAGCAACTTCAATTTGCCACCGATTGGCAACAGTGATACTACCTCTACATGTGTCGTAACAATTCTACCAAATACAAATCAATTTGAAACTCGGATGTTGACTCGTATCCATATGTCCTTTTCCTTTCTACAAATACAAATCATACAAGAATATAAAATTCACTTTTCATGAAATTTATGTTTTGAAGGCAGTTTTGGGAACTGCTTTCGTCACTTACCGTATGTCAGCGTCTTTAAAGCCATGGCCTTATATTCGAAACACCGCTGCTTTCCTAGATATTTTAAATGCAAAATGGCGCACCCACTACGCCATGCCATAAAAGTCAAAGTCCACACAGAAATTTCAATCTAAATCCACTTGTTCACCCTTCCTGTTGGGCTGTAAGTTTGTTAGCACAGTACTTATTCCTTCATTTTTACAAAACATACTTCAAATGTCATTTCATTTATGAAGCCCATGGCTTTATAACTGAGACTGGCTTTATAATCGAATATAGCGCCATGGCTTTAAAGGTGCGGACATACGGTATGACTTGTACAGGTAGACTCCCTTTAATTCGAACCTCAAATTGCCAGGCCCCAACATCAAATTATCAGGAACTTCTAATTATCCAAATGCAGCCCAATGCACTGATATGTACCGTATTTTTCCGGTTTTAAGTCGACCTTTTATGACTGAAAATAGCAGGAGAAAAGGTGGGGGTCGACTTACAACCGGGATTCGACTTATAACCGGGAATTATCGGTATCTTCCAAAAATAACCTGCACTGAATACACGAGTGCACCTGTGTATGCATTTTTGCCAAGTTTATTTGCCTTTTTCAAGAATTTGGATGTTTCAGAATCCAATGAGGAGTGTGTATGTGATTTGTTCATGTGTTAGTAGCAGGGAGCGGTTAGCAGTGCTTCACTGGGCAAAAACTTTAAAAACATAATTAAGACCTCCGGATACGGGGGTCGACCTATAACCGGGGTCGACTTATAACCGGTAAAATACGGTATGTCAAAACGCTCGAAATCGCATGCTGATTATTTGCGCACATTTTATTCGCATCAACGAAAGTCATAGGTACTAGGTGGTCATGTACATGTACAACATGGTAGATCTACAATGGACCAGGCCATTTTATAAAAAACACTGGATCGACACAAAGTCATTTTGACATTATTATCTTGATCTTCAGTGAAGAAGGCTGGCACTGCAGCTGTCCTGAAACAATTTCAACGGAAAGAACAGCACCGCCTAATCCGTGTCATGAAAGGCCGTCGGACAGCAGCACGTCGTTCTGAGGAATGGAAGTGGAGCATAGGCTACGCATAGACGATTTGTTACGACTTCCAGTCCAGAGTGTTATTGTTCGTAAACATCTCTGCGCACCAGCTGGCGCGGCATGAAAGGCCACTGAGATCCGCGAACGGAGTCAGCCACCTGGAATAAGTCGTCTTCAATCAAATCTTTGCACTTTGCCTCGCACGAGCTTGAATCAAATTTGAGAGAAGGTGGGTTTCTTGAACGCTACTGTCGATCCTGGAGCGGACCAGGGATCGATTTTTGAGCTACTCTTGACTAGAGAAGGAGAAAAGAATGAAGTTCGAATTACAATTATAGCAACTCCATCTCACTTCGAAATAAGCGTTCGAAGGACATAGTCACTGTACGGTAAACTGCTCTTCTGTACGAAGACTGAGTTCGAATTATCCAGTCGGTGCACTTTTCGTACTTCGAATTATGCATTCGAATTCGACTTGAAGCGACTTGCAGGAGATCGGTACGACGAAAAATTTCGAATTACACGGAATGTTCGAATTATACCATATTCGAATTAGAGGGAGTCTACCTGTATAGCTATCCACATGTTTTTTAAAGTTTTTTTAGCCATATTGCATATCTCTTGAGCTATAAAGAGGCAATGTACATGTACATTGCCATGGCAACCATGTCAATTACAGTTAGTTGGGCATATCTCTTCAACGGACAACTTTGGCACATTCTAGTTTTCACGGATCAGTTACTGGTTGTTATGCCATTCCAAATCCATCAAAAATCTTTCCTGGACAGGGTGTCACACAGCTCAGTTCTGATGACCCCCTGGCTCCTAGACTACTACACTGCATAGAATTTCTTGCAGATGAGCAGTGGAATCTTCTACTTGCCGCTGCTGCCAACAGTCAATTTTTTTCTTCAGACTTTCTCCCTTTTCATTTCCTGAAAGCTAACGAATGTTCAGTACCATTTCCACATATTACCACACGCCATACCTTTCACTATTCTCTCTGGCTTGTTTGAGCCGTTGATGGAGCTCCTTTGCTGATGAGTCGCAGCGAGATATGGACTCTTCCAATGCCTTGATGTCCGCTTGTTTCTCAGCGAGTTGTTTCTGTGCAGCTGTGAAATACATAAAACTTCTGGTGAGTATTTTCTTCTGGCCTGTGGACAGTTCGAAACCAGAGCAGTTCTTTAAACAAATGAAGTTGGTTGTTCCTATGCAAAACACATGCGTTCGGCCGAACTTTGACATTCGACTGACTAAAGTGTGTTCCATGTAGGAACAACCAACTTCATTTTCTATTCCCGCCAAAGTCGCTACTTCCGATTTCTTCAAGACAAGACGTGGAAATGCCACAGAATGTTTTGCATGAGGATCAGCGCCAAGTCCAGTACTACAAGACTGCATGTAGCAGCACATGTTACTGTGAGGTGAACATGCTGGTGTTTGCACTTTGGTGCAAAATATTGCTTGATCGGAAAATCATTATCAGTGACACATCATTAGACGGAAGATTGAACTGCAGCTCCCTTTTATAGTCATACGAAGGTGGTGAACACACGCCTGGCCTCGCATGTGCTCTAGGCTGCAACCATTCTAGCATATCAGGCCAGTATGCATCCTCTCTCATCAGTAGAGATAGGGACTTTAGACCACGTGACCGCATGGCCCAAGCGCGTGCGACTGGACGCCAGTACAAATGGTGTGATGGCCATATGTCAAATCGAGTAAAACATTTAGAAGAGTTTCTGAAATGAAGGAAGGCTTGTACAGTTGCAGAAAGTTTCGATTCGTCTTGTTGGAGCATGCCTTCGTTTGAGATCCGCAAGAATGGAGTCGTTACGTTAATTTTTGACGGAGACCTGTATGCGGATGGATGAGAAAGGTGAGAAACTATATGATCCGTTCGGGTCTCCTTCCTGAAAATGCGATGTCCGTGTTCTACGACCTCAAATTAGTCTAGATAGAAGGTAATCTTTCTTCCTTTCACCTTCCAGAAGACCTATTTCTTGCATTCCTCTTTGTACATGTACTTTGCCGTGCAGCGTCACCATAGTAACAGTATGGACATTGGCAAGAGTATCCTGCGCTAAATGATGCGGGTGTGCAAACTGAATTGCTCTTGGCTGGTTCGGTCCGTGCCCCGATCCTTGCCTCCAATGCTGTTATGCTCGATCTCGTTGAGCTCCGCAAGGATAGTGGAGCTACATGGGATGACTCACCTGCTGCCGATCCGGCAGGTGAGTCATCCCGATGACTATCATCAGCCATAGCATCCATGGTTTCCAAAGGCACACTTGACCCATCAAGTCGCCGTTGGCTTCGCTTTGAGTGGAAGGGCAGCCTGTGGCAGTACACCTGCCTCCCGTTCGGTCTCTCAGACTCACCGAGAATCTTCACCAAGATCCTCCAACCCGTGGCAACATTGCTCAGGTCTCTGGGCGTGCGCCTGATCGTGTACCTGGACGATTGGCTCATTCTGGGACCCACAGTAGCAGAAGTCCGCCAGGGCACAGAGGCAGCTGTGTTTCTCCTGGAACATCTGGGATTTGCGATCAACGACGCCAAATCAAAATTGAGCCCCAGTCAACAGATGGAGTTCCTCGGAATCGACAAGGTCAACTCAGTGCACATATCTTCACGAGTTTGTATGGTGCAGAATGGCCTTATTCAGACAAGCTGCCCAAAGGCAACATATCCAAGGCCGTGACTAAGTTGCTGGCAGAGAGTAAGAGGATAAGGAACATATTTAATATAGGAGGAATGCAAAATGTTTGAAGCTGAAAGAGTGCCGAACTAGGAGATCTGCTGTGCCATACATGTATGTGGGGAAATTCGAAAAAGGGAACGATAGAACAGGAGCGACCAGCATGTGATAGTGAGCCCGAACACGTGATGTCGATAAGGTCAAAGTGTACCTTTCGAGTTTAGATAAGAACACTGAACACGCACCAGGCCTTGTCCTGAGCGGCCATATGCAGCAACCAGAAAGTACACAGGTTCCCAAAACGGGCAAAGGTGTTCCGTCGTTTGAACTCACGATGAGACGGCTTTGCAAGACTTCGTTTATCAGCAAAATGCTGATACGAGAGATCGGTATGCAAACGGTGGTGCAACCGGTGATACAACGTGGGCGAACCCTTTCGTGCCTGACATAGCTACGCCAGGGATTGCACCAGTAAGTACTGTGATTGAGAGTCCACCAAGTCCATATGGAGATCAGCAGTGGAACACAGCACCATGTGCCCACGCGACCAAATACATGGACACATCGTGGCAAACTGGTAGGCAGACTCCAGGGACATTTGCATCACAACCTTTGTCTACGATGCCGCCACAGTGTAAATACATGCAGCACACGCACACTCAGTCCTTGTCGTTGCCCGTGTCGCAGCTGTTGTCGCAGCCATTGTCCATGTCACAACCGCTGTCTGCGTCGCAGTCGTTTTCGCAGCCATTGTCTGCATCTCAATCGCTGTCGTTGCCTGTGTCGCAGCCGTTATCGCAGCCATTGTCTTTGTCGCAACCGCTGTCTGCGTTGCAGTCGTTTTCGCAGCTGTTGTCTACATCTTACTCGTTGCTATTGCCTGTATCGCAGCCTGTGTCATATCCGTTGCCTGCGTCGCAGTCATTGTCGCATTTGCTGCTTATGTCTCGTTCGCTGGACAACGAAAGCCATCACCGGACCAACTTGTTGGCCACCAGCGCATGTTCACTGCTGAGGAGGTTGTGCGTACCTACTAGTCCATTCATAAAAAAGATGATGCCCTAGCTTTTGGCCATAATGGGTCAAATTTTGAGATTTTTCACATCTTTTTCTGCACTCCCCATTTGTTCTACTTTCACCCTGCTATGCACGCAAGCGGCGGTACTGTACCCTGCAGCCGTATCACTATAATTATCACTGCATCGCTATGGCCTTACCTGCTGTTCGCTGCTCCTCGCCTGCAATGGCCTGCACATGTTGGTTGTTGTCAAAGTCTGCATGAAAACAACAGGATCAGCAAATATACTAGTGCTGAGATGTGTACATGAAAAACAACATACATATACATTCTCCAGCTGAACGCAAGCACCTATAATATACACACCACTGTGCAATGCGCATGCACAAACCCAAACAAACCGCGAATACACTAGGAAGCATGATCAACAGAGTGTGTAACTCAATTTGGTGTTCTTATATGCCCAGTTGAGAGCGCCATGCAGTCATCATGACAGTAGTAAAACACATTGTTCACCACAGTGTGTGGAAGCACCCGTTGTCGTCACCCACTGCCGTACATCCTTACTGCGGCTTGCGAGCCGCATTACTGACGTTCTGCTGTACGTGAAACGTAGCGAAATCACGTAGAAAACAAGTGCTCGGTTAGAGTCTTCGCTTGTTTCGTGTCCAGACTTCTACGCAGAGACAAGGTTCTCTACGTTGTGGCACAAGCAAAGAAAGTGCGTAATGGATCTGTCGGGTGTCATTCAAATCAGGCAGAAAACTGCCAAATTTGAAACGGGAATTCCCAGTACAACTAGTGAGGTTCTGCTCTATGTCATGGGAAAGTGACATGAAAAATCCTGGGAACTCTCTTCGCGTTCCCGTAACGCAAAGGAAGCCACTTCTGCTCTACGTTCACGCAGAGAAATCACGTGGAATGTGTACTGGGAATTTCCCCTTCCATATTTGGCAGTTTTCTGCCTGCATTTGATCAAGAGTCCATAACCCCCCAGAGTGTGCAACTCGTGATCCTTCTCAGCACAAATCAGTGCCGCAACGAAATCCAAACTTCATACGTCATGTAGTGAGTAGCTATGACGAAATGGGAAGTTTGGCCCGGACCTACTTCACCCGTTTGCCCAATTTGGGGTCTTTCTTACGAATCCACGGCCAGGTAATTGTACGTAACACGCCTGGAAAGGCTCAAGTACACAAAGAATTATTTTAGAGTTGTCGAACAGTTTTCTCTTTTGAGTGTCTCTCCGATAAGAGAAGAACAATGGCCACTGTTGAACCTAAAGCAAAGCGCTCCCCATTGTCGCCGGATCGGTGCAGTGTCTCTGTGGACGATATTCGTCAGTTTTTGCTCGATCTGGGCTCCTCATTTTCTTCTCTCGATTGTCGAGGTTGAAGCACATCTACTTCGAAATCGATCGGGTCTTCATGCCGTGTGCCAAGAGCTATTTCCATCAAATCTTGTAAATCTATATCCATGCCTATTCTTGCTATCCCGGAGTCACGAACTCTCCCAATACAAGCTTTTCAGACAACGAGCAGAGAAACTCTCTTCAAATAAAAAAATTCTGTGACTGTGAAATCAAAGCCGTTCTGCTGACACTGCATAGCCCGTGGCCGGTGGAGCAAACGTTTTACGTGACAATTCCGTGGCTTGCTTCAAAGCAACCTTCAACTTGGAACCCCCCACCGGATGTACCAGATATGCACATGGCCCCATCCGCCCATGCTTGCCCGGGGACCGGATGACGCAATGTTTGGATTTCGTTGCGCCAGACCCCAACCTGGAGTTGCACACTCTGGGGGGTTATGGACTCTTGATTTGATCGATACCCACCAGATCTGTACGCATTTTCTCTGCGTGTGCCACAACCTGGAGAACCTCATCTACGTGTAGAAATCTGAACCCAAAACACGCGAAGCCGTAGACTCTAACCCAGACACCAGTAGAGTTGATACAAGATGAGTTTGGACCCTCTTACAGCTTCATTATATCCAAACTCATCTTGGATAATTAGCGATGGCAAGAAAGATGTAGGGCAGGTATACATGTAGGCTAGGTGGGGACAATAGAAGCAATACACACACAAGGCTTACGTGCGCTTGAAAGAAGTTTGTCAAGTTCAGCCACCTCTCGTGCACCGCTGCCGCCACCATCACCACCCGCGTACAACGTCGAACACATCCTTCTGCAAGACTTTTGGCTTGCTCCCTCGAGAGCCTTCTGGTTAGGGCGACAGCAATCCTCTGTCCATTGAGCCAAACTTCACCAGAGTGGAGGGGCGACAAATCGTGTGGCGAAACTCTCCTAGATCCTGTGCCTGCCGTCGTGTCGACAACGACAGAGCCAGACTGGAAGAGGCAGAGGTGTGTTCTCCGCACAACTCCTCTTCCCAACCAACAGAAGCAACTCTTGGCCTTGTGTTGTGAACTTTGTACCGAAGTCCACGCGCACGTGGTGATATTTGCGAGTGCGTATCCTTGACTACGTGAATATGGCGTCCCGACTCTCGATCTCCGTGACTCGATCGGATAGGTATACCAGGTTACAGGTATACGGCGGTATCTCTGTACGACTGTAGATTTGAAAAAAATTGTTGACGTTCTGCATTGCACGAGTGTCTCCTTCAACCATTTTTCGTTCCATTGCTGCATTATACTCCTTCTGCTAGCTGTAACCGATCTATTGCTTTATAAAAGCTCGTTCGGGGTCGTTGAGGGACAGCCCTGATTAACTCGGAGGAGATACGAGGAGGATCAATCTCGTAGAGGAGTGGGAGAAGCACTGAACTTGACGTACATTTTCCAGGGTTGGTATCGTAAATGAATCGTTGGTGAATGAGATCGCTCCACCATTATTGAGGCATGGAGGAAAGCGTACTGGTGGACAAATGCCTAAGCCTCAGGAAAGTCATTGTTGAGCGAGGTAGTGGCGTCCAATGTCCCGTTGAGGGTACGAACGTGGCTGTACGTATACAGCAGCGCCAGAATGACAGAATTGTTCAGTTCGAAGTCGGATCTGGAGATACTCTTCTGGACGATTACTTGGACTCCTTGGTTCTCACTATGAAGTACGAGGAGGTTAGCATCTGCTCCTTTCCGTCCAGTTGCTTCACCGAGGGCAGTAGTAGGCCTGACAAAGAGCTAGTAGAAGTGACTGTGAGTTTAGACCGTATGCCTGAATCCACATCACCCGTAGCAGATTTGCCAAGCCCAGGCCAACGCCTTGTACTTGCGAAGCAGCTGAAGGATCGAGGCGGGCAGCTTGTGAGTACGTCCTCATGGTGGTTGGCTGCACGCCGCTACAGCCGCGCAGCGAAACACTGCATCCTGGGTCTGACGGTACAGGACCTCGACCGTGCACTCCAGGAAGAGTTGATAGATATTCGTGCCAAATGCCATTTAAACCTTGCTGCATGTCAGCTGCGCATGGGTGATGCAGTGAAAGTGGTGAAGAACTGTACGTATGTGCTGGACATGCAGCCTGATAATGTCAAGGCACTGTACAGGAGAGGTCGAGCTCTGTCAGCAGTGAAAGAATACGAGAGAGCAGAAGCCGATTTCAAGCATGCCCTGCAGTGTGACCCACAGAACCGGCAGGTAGTGAACGCTTACGACGATTTGAAAGCATGCATGAAGAAACAAGACACCTATTATCACAATGCACTGAAATCAATGTTTGGCGGGACCTGAAAGTATTACCGTAGCAGTGACTGGCATATTCCACATCGCCATCATACGATCCTACTGTCTTATCAATATGACCATATCAAAACCAGGTGTATCATCATCCCTGCCCTAACCTATTGCTGGCAATATTATTAGTATATCATGCGATGTGCAGGCACATCACATAAACCTATACCCAAATGAGTATCCAGCGTTCTGGTACATACCGTCACATGATAGAACATACGTCTTGTTACAATTCTCTTGGGTTCTTTTCAGCTTTTTTAGTTGATTGTATTTGTTGACCCAGCCGAGCCCGCCTTGTTACTTGTGTTTGTTCTTTCTATGGGCATGTTGTTACCATTCGTCTATTCCATTCAATGCACAGCCTCCCACTATTCTCAGGCTTCCATGCCTGGTTTGTGCAGTTGGCATTTTGGTCAGATATTGGTGGTGGTGAATTGAGTGTTGGTGTTGACGTGCCTATTCTCACAGCACCAGTGAGCGCTAGGATCATGAGTATGAGGCGCACAGCATGTCAGGGTTCCGTTTCCACGTCATGATAAGCATGACATCACGATGAACATGCACATGCGTGCGCACACGCTGGCCCAGCCGAGCATGTTAGTCATGGCAGCAGGCAACTCTCCCAGTTTCCTGGCAAGTGAAGTTCCATTCCTGGATGGCTGCTGCAGCACAGCAGTGTGTGAGAACTGGCAGTGTTTCTGTACAGCGCATGCTGAACTGCTATCCAGAGAGCAGTGGCCTGTACTGTGCAATACTGAATCAGGTCAGTGCCAGTGGGTGGCAGTTCCGAGTCCCACTGGCGACAGTAACTGTTGATGTTGCTCAGGACCAATGCAAGCAGCGCAAGTGCACATTCAGACGTCGTCATGAATGGCCACCTGCACAAGAACGGGAACAAACAACCCCGGTCAAGAGTGCACCAAATAACCAACAGAACAATGGAGAGAAGAACATGCATGCTTGTGAGTCAGCAAAACTGGCAAACCAGTACAACACAAACTGTCATAGCCGCACGCGATAATTTGTTGCCATGCACATTGATGTGCGGTGGTCTACTACAAATCTTCACAGCGACCATCTCAACTCACTGGGCAGTGGTCAAATACCATAATCACACAGCACAAAGTAATATTTTGAGGACTCTCTGCCACTCAGCATAGGGCCTTGGCTTGATAGCATAAGCATAACATTCTACACGTATTTAGGTGAGTTTTGCTATTGCCCAGTACTCACATGGTCTACAAGACTCCCACCACCAACAGTCTCTGATGTATCCAAAACAACGGTGTCCGCAGAGAAAGGCTTCTTGATGGTTGTTTTTCCTGTGAT